CATCCTTTGGGCTGCTCAAAAGGGGAGCCTGGCCTTGCTCCGAAACAACGAAACGCCCTGAGTCAGAACGAAGGTGGAAAATTCCCCGAAGAAGGAAGATGTGAGGCGGATTTTCGCTCCGGTTGACCTTAAGAATCTGGCACGTGGAAAAGGTGTTTCCTTTGCGTCAATCGCTGCCTCTAAAATAGTTTCCTTTCCCTCTCCTGGCACAGTCCGGGCAGATTTAGCGTCCTAGGAAGCTGTTCTGTACAGAGTTGGACCCTCGTCTGCAGAGGTCAGGCGGGGGTCTCTCCAAAGGCCCAACCTTGAACCAGGAGCCTTTGGCATCGCTGTCAACGTTTCCCTTTTTAAAAGGAAATTCCCTTATTTTGAATAGGATTCCTTGCAAGAAAGGGGAAAAGTTGACAGCTATACCTTTGGGATTGTTTAGAAACATGTCGCCACTTCCCCCTGTGTGGGTGTAGTGGTTAAGAGCGGTAGTCTCATAATCTGGGGAACAGGGTTCGCTTCCCCGCTCCTCCACCTGCAGCTGCTGGGTGACCTTGGGCCAGTCACACCATTTTTTTTTTTAAGTGAACTGTTTCACTTGACATGTTATATAAAGCAAGGGTTTGCAAATGTTTCAGGTTTGTTTTTATGTATTGCATTTGATTTTAAACATTTTAGGCTGCTTTTCCAAAGCACTAAAATAAAAAAAACAAAAAGTGTCACTACACTTTTGTAACTTTGATTTATGCCTCTGGAAGTGCTTTACAACACAATCCCATGCATATTTACTCAGAAGTAAATCCTGTTAATTTCTGTGAGGCTCGCACCCATGTAAGCATGAATAGGGTTGCATCCTTAATTGCACCCCTAACTAGCTCTGTGCCAACAATTTCTTCTGTGCTTGCCTCCTGCTCCACAACCATTCTCCCTCAGTTACTGAGAAAAGGAATCACATTTGAAAATTATCATAGGGAACAGACAATTTTCTCCATGAAAACAAAAGCCCTGGAATCCCATGGATATTTGAACCAACTCAGCCATATTTAAAATGTTATGTCTTTCTTAACTTTTAAACATTATCATGCTTCTCCAGAGTGAGATTTGAATTATAGGTAGAACCAATTTCTATGCATATTTATGCTTTCCCAGGTAAATGTGCAGAAAAGAGATACATTTTGTGTGTGCTTTCTCACTCTTTTATCTCTTTGCATGTGACAGAAAACCCTTCAGGATAATATAGATGTTATTTACAGTCTGTGACCTCCCTCTGCCTTTTTCAGTGCCATGTAATCCTGACTCTCTGGTGTGTTTGGTCTAGCATTTGGTCACGCTGCAGAGTATGTCGCTTGACCAGAAATGAATTGACTTCAAAATCTGCTTATTTGCTTACGCGATTGACAATAGGATTCAACTTACTTGAGAGTAATTTGTGGCTCACGTAGGCTAGATAGTCATATCATTGCTATTACATAACTAGTTTAGTTAACTTGTACAGTCGTAACTTAGTTTTTGAACAGCTTAGTTCTCGGAACGTTTTGGCTCCTGAACACCGTAAACCTGGAAGTGACTGTTCTGTTTTGCGAACTATTTTTGGAAGCCAAACGTCCAACGGGGCTTCAGCGGCTTCCAATTGGCTGCAGGAGCTTCCCGCAGCCAATCAGAAGCTGCACTTTGGTTTCTGAACATTTTGGAAGTCGACTGTATCCAATTCCCACTAGACTTGGTGGAGCCTCCACTGCCACCAAGTACTCAAGATGACTTAGAATCAGGCATATTGTTCACAGTAAAACCCAGAGGTAAAGCTGTTAAGGTCATATTGATTCCCAATCTGTTTACTATGGCATTAGTTACCCCTCCCAGTTTGGAGTCATCTGCAAATTTGATGAGCATCCCCTTAGTTCCTTTGTCCAAGTTGTTTATAAAGACACTGAACTACAGCACAATCAGAGGTGAGGAGTGAGGAGGCATTGGGGGAACTGTCACACTGTGTCCCACATGAAAGTGGATGAGGCCCACTCTTAGATAAACACTATTTTAATCATTCTCATTGAAATTAGTGGGATATAATAAAGGCTTCACTTTGGCTGGGGTTGTCCCCAGTGTTTTCTCTTAACAGCACATTTCACGAAGCCATTTACAGGAAAAGCATATTAATAAAGAAGTGGTATTCTAATTTTATTGCGCCATAAAAATAAGTAATAAAAACATCGCTGTTATTTTATAATAATAATAATAATAATTTCATTATTTGTACCCCGTCCCATCGGACTGAGTTTCCCCAGCCACTCTGGGCGGATTCCAGCACACACAAAAACATAATAAAACACCTAATGGTTCTTATCACCCTGAGTAGTACTGAGTTAAAAAACAAAAGAGGAATGCAAACGGGTAAAATTGATGGTCACTGCAGCCAGACAGGTTATAGCGAGTAACTGGAGAATATTATAATTTTAGAATACCTAACTGTGAAGAAAGGGGCGCGGGTGGCGCTGTGGGTAAAACCTCAGCGCCTAGGACTTGCCGATCGTATGGTCGGTGGTTCGAATCCCCGTGGCGGGGTGAGCTCCCGTCGTTCAGTCCCGGCTCCTGCCCAACTAGCAGTTCGAAAGCACTCTTAAGTGCAAGTAGATAAATAGGGACCGTTTACTAGCGGGAAGGTAAACGGCGTTTCCGTGTGCTGCGCTGGTGCAGGCTTGCCAGAGCAGCTTCGTCACGCTGGCCTAGAGTCTGTCAAGACTGGCCCGTACGGGCAGGGGTACATTTACCTTTAACTGTTGTCAGGGGCTCAGGAGCAGAGGCACAGGGGAGAGAGGAAATGGAGAGCGAAGGGGAAGAATCTGAGGGCAGCGGAGGGGAGAATGACAGTGACCCGAGAGATTCCATGAGCCTCTCCAGTGAATCAGAAGATTCCCAGAAGGGGGCGCCGATGGTCAGGGCAAGGGGGGTCCCAGGGGGGACGCACCAGAAGCAAGGGGCCAGCAGGGACTCCCAAAGCAGCAGTGGGAGATCAGGACCAGCTTCCCCACCAGAGCGTAGTGGGGGGGGAAGAGTCCCATGTGTCAGGGCCAGCGTCTCCTCCAGCAGGGAGAGAAGATGAGTCAGGACTGACCACGCCTCTATCGGAGAGTGGGGGAACGGAGGGGAGGTCAGATCCAGCTAGCCTCGCCGAAGGGGGAAGCAATGACAGGAGCAGTGTAACGGTCAGGAGGAAGGTGGCCGGCTGGGCGCGCGCGCCAAGTTCGAATGTACAGGCGCGTGGGACAGCAGAAAACCCGGATTGGGAACCAGGTCCTAAAGCCCGCCGGAGGCAGGGGGAAGACTCAGGGGACTCAGCGTCAGAAGAGTCTAGGAAGGGCAAGACCCCAGCGGACAGGCGGACCCAGAGGAGGAAAGAGCAAAGGAAGAGGTGGAGCAAGGCTAGAGTCTTAAACTGGTGTCTGGGGGGAGGAGACTCAGACGGAGCTTCGGCGGTCTAGAGTTTGAGACGTAGAGCTGCGCGCCGTGGCTGTGAAAGCGAAACTGAGCTTCAATAAAGATTGTTTTATATAACAACGAACTGGCGTTGGACCTTTGTGAGCTGGGACCTAGGGCAGCTCTGACAACTGTGAAGATACATAGAATGAATGAAAAGGTTTAAGGTCAGTGAGAAATAAATAAACCTTGTGGAAGGAGGAGTGTTAAGGTATATAGAAGTGTACATATGGTTAATTTGACTATGTTGTTATTGAATATGTATATTATTGAATATTGTATACCCAATGTATCAGCTGCCTGGGGGGTTTCACTGTTTGTGTTTTGGTGGTTGGTAAAAACTAAAATATTTTTTAAAAAACATAATAAAACACCAAACATTAAAATCTCCCCTGTACAGGGCTGCCTAAGTTCAGGTGTCGCCTAAAGGTGTATTGTTACTTATCTCCTTGACATCTGAAGGGAGGATTTCCCAGAATAATAATAATAATTTTATTATTTTATCATCCTCCCATTCTGCCAGCGGTGCATTTCAATAAAGTCGAGGGAGTCCCAAACTGTAGGTGGCGCCGCGCTGAATATCGGCCCTTCTTATCCACGTGGAACTGGCATTATTACTCCATTATTATGCAGTTCTGTGACTCTGCGATTCCCCCCCCCTCTATCCAGGTGGCACCGGGTGGCTCTGAGCGTCAGCAAGAAGCAGGTGACCTTGATCCTAGACTGCAAGAAGAAAGTGACCCGCCCTTTGCCCCGCGGCAACCAGCCGGCCATCGACACGCGCGGCATCACCGTCTTTGGAACCCGCATCCTGGACGAGGAGGTCTTCGAGGTGGGCGGCCTTCTCCGCTCTCTCCCGCTGCTACTTCGGCCAGCGGGTGCCGGGCTCACCAAGCTCTTCCTTTGGCTTACTCCCCGCAGGGTGACATCCAGCAGCTGCTCATCTCCTCCAGCCCCCAAGCAGCCTACGACTTCTGCGAAGACTTCAGCCCCGACTGCGACGTGAAGGCCGCCCAGAAGCCCCAAGCGCAGGAGGCCCAGAGAAACCCCAGCAGACCTGAGGTGAGGTGAGGGGGGCAGAGGAGCCGGGTTCCAGGAAAGGGGTCCACGTCCCACCCCCCTTCCACCTCCTCAGCATCCTTGCTGGGCAGTCGGGGAAAGTCTGTTTGCTTCTGGGAGGAGGAAGCCAGGAGGCGGTTCTGTGTTCGAAACACAGTCTGAACCTTCACCTGCCCTCCTGGGAGGGGGGTTGTTGTTGAGGACAGACAGAAGAAGAGTTTGGATTTGATATCCCGCCTTTCACTCCCTTTAAGGAGTCTCAAAAGCGGCTCACATTCTCCTTTCCCTTCCTCCCCCACAGCAAACACTCTGTGAGGTGAGTGGGGCTGAGAGACTTCAGAGAAGTGTGACTGGCCCAAGGTCACCCAGCAGCTGCAGGTGGAGGAGCGGGGAAGCGAACCCGGTTCCCCAGATTATGAGACTACCGCTCTTAACCACTACACCCACACAGGTGGGGAAGTGGCGACATGTTTCTAAACAATCCCAAAGGTATAGCTGTCAACTTTTCCCCTTTCTTGCGAGGAATCCTATTCAAAATAAGGGAATTTCCCTTTTAAAAAGGGAAACGTTGACAGCGATGCCCAAAGGCTCCTGGTTCAAGGTTGAGACTTGAGAGAGACCCCCGCCTGACCTCTGCAGACGAGGGTCCAACTCTGTACAGAACAGCTTCCTAGGACGCTAAATCTGCCCGGACTGTGCCAGGAGAGGGAAAGGAAACTATTTTGGAGGCAGCGATGACGCAAAGGAAACACCTTTTCCACGTGCCAGATTCTTAAGGTCAACCGGAGCGAAAATCCGCCTCACATCTTCCTTCTTCGGGGAATTTTCCACCTTCGTTCTGACTCAGGGCGTTTCGTTGATTCCTTGTGTTTCGGAGCAAGGCCAGGCTCCCCTTTTGAGCAGCCCAAAGATGGAATTGCGGAGTCGGAAGGGACCCTCTGCGGTCATCTAGCCCAACCCCCTGCAATGCAGGAAGCACAGCTGAAGGCTCTGGGGTGTTTAAGTGTCCTCGCTGGCACTGCGATTTCGCCTCCTGGCAGTTCCTAACGCCCCCTTTTGCCGGTGGATCTGGAGTGCAGGATTGTGTCCATGTTGCAGCTGAAGGGGAAGCAGGTTGTTAACTTGGGGCGATTATTGAGAACGTTTTTACATATTGGTATTTGTGTCCAAGGTGGCGCTGTGGGTTAAACCACAAAGTCTAGGACTTGCCGATCAGAAGGTCAGTGGTTCGAATCCCCGTGATGGGGTGAGCTCCCGTTGCTCAGTCCCAGCTCCTGCCAACCTAGCAGTTCAAAAGCACACCTGTGCAAGTAGATAAATAGGTATTGCTCCAGCGGGAAGGTAAACGGCGTTTCCGTGCACTGCTCTGGTTCGCCAGAAGCGGCTTAGTCATGCTGGCCACATGACCCGGAAGCTGTACGCCGGCTCCCTCGGCCAATAAAGCGAGATGAGTGCCGCAACCCCAGAGTCGGTCACGACTGGACCTAATGGTCAGGGGTCCCTTTACTATTTTGGAGGAGTAGCAATGAGCTCCCCTCCTCGTAGTTGTGAAAGGGCAAAAACTCTCTCACACACCAATTTGAGCACATTGTTGTCCGTTGACAACTTGAGCTGTGATCCCTTCATTGAAGGGCTGGACACTTAGGGTCCCTTCCAAAACTGCAATTCTATGAACTTTTTGGAACATTTCAGGTGGTGAGGCTGCCATTTGATCAAAGAAATCTTATTCCATTAGCCACCTGCTGCATTTTAACTGACTGATTAAATCTGCATATGCAGAGTGAAAAATAATCCCTGCCCCCCCCCTTGGTGAAAGAGGCTCCAGTTTCCACCACCTGCATTTTTAAGCAGCTTGCTTAATCCAGCCAAAGGTTTTTAAGTTGATCAATTTAACCAACTAATTGACAGATCAGCTTTGCAGGCCTGGTGAATTATCAGTCTGGAAGTGGGTAAAAACTGGATTCCCTCTCAAATCGTTTTTTTCCTTTTCCTTTTTGCGGTTTCTTAGGAGCAACTTTCCCTCCCTTGTTTGCTTTTCGGGGTGGGGGGGATGATCAGTGCCACTGAATCCTCAGGAAAAACGTGCCCCCCCTTGCTGGTGTTTCAAAAGGCTGGGGCGCAGGAAACCACTTGCCACTTCCCCAATCCAGTAATTTTTGGAGTTAAAAAAGAGAGGAAAGTGTCTTCAGGGAGCTCAACGCTCCCCCTGATGTTGCACCCCTCATTTTTAGGAGCACCCTGCACCCATTTGCATGAATGGTTCTCAACCGCTGGGGGGTTTGGCCTTCTGCCCCCCCCCCCCCCCGGGACTGGCGAATCTCTGCAGCCGTTTATGGTTTTTTTGTTCTGTTTTTGAAGACCCCGCTTCTCTTGCTCTCCCTCAGTACTTTGGTGAGGACCTGCAGGAGTATGACGCCTACCCCTACTATTACGGGCCTAGTGAGGGCGGATTGGGCCCTCTCTCCTCCGCGCCTCTGGGGGGAGTCAGTGATCAGGTAAAGGGAGCGGTGCTGCGGTGCTCCTCCCCAGAAATGTCCATCCGTCCGTCCGTCCTCGTACCCGAGTCTTGTCCTTGTCATGTGGTTGTGGAATAGTCCACTTGTCTGTCTTGTCCACCTGTCCACCAGTCCATCCATCCATCCATCCATCCATTTATCAATGTCTATGCATTACCTTGCCTTTAATTTAGCAACTTGGGGGGCAACCCTGCCCCCCTAGGTTCGTCCAGAGATGAACAGCCAAGGAGACAGTAGAGGCTGGCCGCTGGGGATTTATCCAGGCAGATTGGGGGAGTGTGGGTTGGGAAATAGCCGTTGCTGGAGATTGGCAGAATCATGACCATCCTTGGGTAGATAATAGCTGAGTTGCAGGCAAACATTATTATTATTATTAAATGCTGCAATGAATGGTGGAGTTCACTCGCGGTTGCGCTGCATCATATCCGACGTAGTCCATTGGAAACAGCAGACCCCATGGTGCAGCGCGGCCGTGGCTGAAACCCGAACATGAGGGAGCACCTGGGGCAATGTGGGCTAGTTGCAATGAGGAAAACCACAATCTTACGGGCAGGTTTTCTGCAGAAATCAGTGGAGCTCTAGGCTGTGGGCTGAATTCATTCGGAACCAACAAAATCAAATCAAATCATCATAATAAGAAATATCCTTCTGTAGTTCCTATACTACTGGAAGGCTGTGATTATTTACTTGGAAGTGGGCTGCTTCAGGAGAAACGCTAAACCGTAGTTTAGTGTGTGGAGAGCACACTCTGCCCCAATTTGGCCACCAGAAGCAGCTCAGAAGTTTTTTCTCCTGTGTTCGGTGAAGCTGTTTCTGTGTTTTCCAAACCCAGGGTAGAAAAACTCGCTTCTCCCACCTTGGAGGCAACTATGCTTAGTGGAGAGGGCAGCTTCAAACCGCAGTTTATGAAGCTCTTCCGCTGACGGTGGTTGGGATTAACCACGGTTTAGGGTTTGGCCACCATGTTTCTCATTTGCTTTTGCTTCCTGCTCCTCCCCTCTTCCTCCTCCATCGCCATCTTCATCACCCCGCCCTCTGTTGTCGTTTGTCCTCGCCGCCCTCCTCGCCGCTGCCAGAAACCGGCCAAGGGGAAGCCCCCCGCCAAGCCCAAACCAAAGCCGAAGCAGCCCCAGAAACGCCAGCTCGCCAGCACGGCGCCCGCCTACGCCGCCAAGACCGGCCCCAAAAACGGCTCCAAGTACCCCGCCAACGGGAAGTCCGGCGCGAAGGCCGGCAGCACCAAGGCGACCACGAAAAAACCCCTGGGCAAATCGGGGGGCCAGGCCCACGCTGGCGCCGTCGGAGCCCGGAAGCCGGGGAACGGCTACCAGCAGGTAGAGCCACAGGGGAGGGGGTGCAGGGTGCCGCCTGGCCCCCCCAACCCTGGGACCCGGGCAAAGCTGGCTGCTCTGGCCCCCCTAAAACCACCCCACTGCCCCTCTCGTCTGCCTGTGTGTCTGTCTGCGTCTCCCCACCTCCACGTGTCTCTGTGTTAACCGTACCATGTCCTGCATGCTGGGCCGTTGGGGGGCCGCAAGAGAAAGGGCCCCTGAAACTTCGGAAGGGCTCCCCACCCTCTCTTGGGGGGGGGCGGCCGGATTGAGATTTGACTTTCCCTCAACCTCCCGGGAAACGAGAACCCACATCCGTGCCAGGGGGCCCTAGCCTAAGTTCGGACTTCTCTTGTGCTTTCCCTTTCCCCCAAATGGACACCTGCCAGACCCCCCAAATTGCTGGCATCCTTGTCCGGCTTGCAGGTGGGGGGTGAGATTCTGCTCCCCGAGATCCATTTGTCTCCCCGGGGGAAAATGATCCGGGATAAGGAGGAATGCTCCTTGCAGAATTGCTGAGTTTGGGACGGGACCCCACAGGGTCATCCAGACCAACCCACGGCCATCTCCTTCTCCTTCCTCCCGGGACTTGAGAGGAGAAGTTTGGATGAACTAACCATGTCTGCATTTTTTTCCCTCTCCCTCCTTTTCCCTGTCTGGCCTGTTTCCTTTTTCAACCCATCCTCTCCCTCTCCTACTTCTCCGTTCACCCCACAATGTGATGGCCGTGTCCCCCCCTCTCTTGGGCATCTTCTCTGCCCCTCCATCAACACATCCTTCCTTTCCTTCCTCAACATGCCAACTCTGCTCCTCCTCCTTCCGTACATACCCAACCTCACACACTGTGTTGCTTTCCTCTTCCCCTCCCCGGCTCGTGACTCTTTCCTCCGCTGCTGCCACCACCCCCTCTCAAGGACGTGGGCCTGCTCCCCACAGAGGAGCCCTGGGGGGCCCATGAGTACCTTGACTACACCTTGCCCCCTGAGGCGGAAGAGACCTATTGGGAAGAGGGCCCCACACACGAGGCGTCCCTACCTGTTGCCTCGTCGCCACGGGGAGAGGTAAATGCGCCTCTAGCACCCGCGTCCTGGCGGGCCAACCTGAGATGGAAGGGCGTTCGCTCCCTGGTTGGGTGGGCCGTGCAGGATCCACAGGAGAGGAGCCAGGACTCCTGGGTTCTGTGGGAAGGAGAGACCCAATGGGCTTGAGGCCCCGGACTCCTGGGTTCTCAGGAAGAGCAGGGCGGATTGGATGGCGAGGGGAAGAGCCCTGTGAGCTCAGGGGCTTTGAGTGCAGGTAGGGCCAGGGAAGACCCCCTGGGCCTGAAATTATGGAAAGGCATGATGGGAGTTGTAGTCCCAAGGCAATGGCTGGACCCCTGCCACAGCTCCCTCTGCCCCCTTGCTGCTCTCTGGCAGGCTGGTGGGGCAGGAGACCCCCCCCCCAAGAATGACACCTGGTTGGGTGGGCACCAACCCCGTTTGCCCCCCCTAACGTATCCGTGGGTTCCCACCCTGCCCGGGGGCCAGGAGGAAGCGCCCAGCCCACGTCCGGCCGAGGAAGAGGTGTTCACTGAAGAGGAGGTCCCTGGCGTGGGGCTGGAGTACGAGTACGCCTATAGGAGCTATGGCGAGGGGGCCGAGCCGTCGGAGCTGGGGCCTGTGCTCTCGGCCGAGACCCCCCACGGCGGAGGCGTAAGTGGGGTGCTGCCCCCTCCCTGGAGGCCCTCTGGCATTCTTTGCCACGCCTTCCTGTCCTCTTGGGTCTACTTCCTGTTGGTTCGTGCTTGTCTGTGACATCACTTCCTCTTGCCTGGGGTTGGCTTATGGAATGGTTTCAGCCTTGTCCTCTTGCTCTTGTTTTGGTGTTTTATCCACAACCCGTTTCTGTTTCCTCCTCATTCGGTTCTCCGCCACGACACTCCTTCTTTCCCAACAGCTTTGGTTTGCGGTTCCTGACGGGCATGTGGCTGTGGATTCAGTTTGCTGATGTCACTTCCTGTTTGAGGATGCCCATTTCCTGCTGCCTGCGCACCCCTTCCTGTTTTGAAGTCACCTCTTCCTCCTGCCTTTGCCACCATTCACCACCGGGTGGCGGTAGCACTTCCTGTTCCGTTTGTAACCCTTCCCACTTCCTATGACCCTCCTCTTTGTCTGATGACATCATTTCCGGCTATTGCCAGGTGCTGGATGTTTTGTCATGCTGCCTGTTTGGGTTGTTTGCCGTTTTCTGCTGCACTCTTTTCTGAAGTTGCTCTTTAGTTATTATTTCAAGCTGTCCAGCCATGTGTGCAACTCACTTTCCTGTGATGCCATTTCTCTGTGTGGCGATGTCATTTCCTGTGATGTCATTTCCTTCCTTGTTGACGTTTCCTGCAACACAGTCTACATAGAAATGGGCTGCCATCTTTTCCTGGGTCGCGGCTGCGGCAATGGCAGGAGGGAAGCTTCCTCCCTGTTCTGCGATGTCATCACGTGCCCTATGATGTCATCGCACTGCAGGGCCATTTCTGCAGACAGTCTCCCCTTCCCTGGCATGGTGCAAGCGCTGGAACTCAGTTACCAGTTTGGGGGGAGGCCGTAAGCCCCCAAACGGGACACGGTAACTGTCAGTCCACGCTGCCATCTTGGAAGGCAGCCCCTTTCCCTTCTTCCCCACACCCTGGCCCCGAACCTCACACCCCTTTCAACCTCCGAATCTTCATGTGCAGAATTTTGCGGGAAGAGTTGTGGGATTCAGAGGCTCACTGGTCACAAGCGGTGTATAAATTTTATGAAATAAAAAAAGACCCAGGATACATAAGGGTTAATTTCTATTTAAATTTAGAAGGAATAAGGGCAACCTGCCCCCCCCCCCACTTTTTTTTAAAATGAACACATAGGCTTTTAGCCAGCTAAATTCTACTCAGAGTAGAGCCATTGAAGGGAGTCACATCCATCTATTCCAGTGGGTTTACTCAGAGTAGGATGAACCTTGTCTACTACTCAGGCACCTGAAAATTGTTCTCCGCCAGAGCTCATGTATTTACCCCTTTTCCACTTTTACTCAAGGCCCTACTCAGACCTTACTACAGATTTACTCTGAGTTTCCTCCAGCTGGTTTATTTACGTGCTGCCCCCCCCTTCATTCTCAGTCCATTTTGACAACAGATCACTTTTTGTTCGCCTGCGGCTCCGGCCCTCGCTGTTTGCTTCCATGAAAAACAAACGGCAGCTTGACTCCCCTCCTGCCCCACCTTTCAGTGGCGAGCCGGCCATTCCCCTTTTTAGATGAGCATAGAATCACGGAATTGGAATCGGGGACCCCCAGGGTCATCTAGTCCAACCCTCTGCAATGTGGGAATCTCAGTCCTTTCCGACCCTTTTAGCAGCTGCTCACCAACATATGCTTGGCTTATGTTGCTTATGTCGCTAAGCTGCCCGCTTTGCCGGGACGGCATGGCCGAGGGTTGGGCTGGATCGCCTTTGGAGGGCCCTTCCCAGTCGATTGCAGGCGGTTCCTTTTCCCCAGAGAGCCCCTCCTCTCCCCGCCCGCACTGAACTGCTTCTGTGAACCCCCTCGGGTGTGGACACCCCCCCACACTTTTTGCACCCAGGGGCTGGGGTTGGGGGTGTTTAAGCCCGTGGTGCCATTCTGTTGACTGGCCCCCTCTGTGCGGCTACATGTCTGCTTCCCCCAGGCCGTCCGAGGAGCCAGAGGCTACAAAGGAGAGAAGGGAGAGCCGGCCGTCTTCGAACCCGTAAGTTCCTGGAGGGGAAGGGGGTCCTGCCTTGGCCTGGCCTGGACAGGTGTGTGTGTGTCATTTTGGACTGTGTGTGTGTGAGAGAGAGAAAATTCAGCATTGTGGACGCCATCTTTCCAAAGGTGAACAGCCCCCATACAAAATGTTGCTCAGCCTTTTTTGGGCAAAGTTGCCGAACCTTTTTAGCAAAGACATTTTTTCCGGTTTTTGAAAATTCCACCGTTTCCGAGGGGCGAATCCCGGCTACGTCCGGGGTATTCCAGATGTGGGGCAGCCCCTCCAAACATCGGGCAGTCTAGGCAGGCTGCAACGGACTCCTGTCTCCTTGAGGTCTCCTCCATCTCCACAATTCCACGATAGATGCAAATACAGTGGTACCTTGGTTCACAACCGTAATCCGTTCCGGAGGTCCGTTCGTAAATCAAAACAGGTTGCGACCCAAGGCGCGCTTTCGCCAATAGGGCCTCCAAAAAGAAATTGTTCGTAATCAAAAAAAAAAGAGAGTTGCAATCCAAAAAAAGTTTGCAAACCGGGACACGGGTTTGACGTGTTTGTAATCCAAACCATGCAAACCAGAGTGTTCGCGAACCGAGGTACCACTGTAGAAAGGAGCTCGCTTGGAGGGCTCCCAAATCCTGCAATATCTCTCCGCTACCTAATCTGCACGACCTCCTTCCCCGTTTTGCACAAGTCCGTCTGTTGTGCGCAAGGCCTGGTTTTCCCAAAGCCCGACCCCTGGAAGGAGGCACGTCCAGCCAACTCCGGCACCGTCGGTTCGAAGAATTGTTGAGTTGGAGGGGGACTGCCAAAGGTCATCTAGCCCAACCCCCCGCCGTGCTGCCCCGACGCTTTGCCTCCATGAGGTCTAGCGGCTTGCTTCTGCCCCACCCAGGTCTCAAAATTTTGAGATTGTGGCAAAGGCCGGCCAGACTCCTCAAATGGAAGCCAGCGGGATCTGAACCACAAGACTCTCTCCCCAGTTTCCAGCAATTATTCCAGAGATTATTCAGAGGCCTTTCTGGAAAACACAGCCCACGGTGGCTCTTGATAAGCATATTTTCCTCCACGAATCGGATGAATCCAGTAATACATCTTTCATGTCCCTGTAGGTTTTAATTTAATATTGGGAAGGTAGCTCGTTTAGGGGACAGAAAACTCTGACCCTAAACCTCCACTGTCCTGCAGAGAAGAAAAGGCTCAGGAGTAAACCTGACACAAATCCGAGTCCCTAAGACGGTTGTGGAGTTGGATGGGACCTCCAAAGATCATTCAGTCCAACCCCCTGCAAGGCAGGGTTCCCATTGGCTCCGGTTGTTTCCATTCATTTCACAGGCTGCGTTGAGTACATCCCTGAGTGCACAAAACCAGGATGCAAACGGCTCAGTTTGGAATTGAAAATAAATCTCTGCAAGCGTGGGGGGGCTTCCATTTTGCTCCCCCCGCCCAGTAACTGCAGGACTGGGAGCCCTTTTTGCACCAGCAGTTGCCCCGGAATAACATCCCCTCCAAAGACCACCCCCTCCAAGTTCTACCTTCTTTGCAAGCTCCCAAGGCAGGAGGGGAATCTGAGGCCTCACCAGCAGATCTCGGCAGGATCGGGGCCTCTCGGCTCCTTTTGGGCGGCCTTCAGAATTCCCCGGAGAATGGGGCTGACCTCTGAGCGACCGTGCAAGGCAGCCATCCAACCGGCGGAGCTGCGATGCCCCAGAGTTCTCGGGTTTTTGGGTAGCGTTATCGTCTCCGCATAGCGCGCTGGGTGTGTGTTGGTGGGGAGGGGGGGAGAATAGCCGGTGGTGGGGTAAACAATGAGCTCTTTCACGGGCGAGAGCAGAGGGACGGGGCCTGTCCCTCTGCCAAGGCAGGTCTGCGGCTGCTTCCTAACTCCTTCTTTTTGCATGTGTTTGTGCCTCTGCAGGGGATGCTGGTCGAAGGTCCCCCAGGCCCCGAAGGAGCTCCGGTAAGAGGCGTGCAGAACCCCGGGGTGGGGGTTTAAGGGGGCGAACGAGGCCTCCACCCCATCTCATGCCCCCTGTCCGGTGGGCAAGGGTGATGGTCTTCTGTTCCTCCTTCCCCACAGGGTATCAGCGGACCACCAGGGACCACGGGACCCCCAGGACCCCCCGGCGACTCTGGGGAGAGGGTAAGGCTGCGATCCGGCGAAGGAGAGGGGAGAGTGAAGGGCATGTGGTGAAGGAGGTGCCATAGGGCAGCTCCTGCCCCTATGCAGACAAACTTCAGCGTCACAGATTGGATTGGATGCAAAATTCAGCGTCACAGATTGAATTGGATGCAAAATTCAGCATCACAGATTGAAATGGATGCAAACTTCAGCGTCACAGATTGGTTGGATGCAGAGGAAGGGTGGGGGGAACTAGCTGGGGCACCCCAAAGGGAAGAAGGCTCAGAGCCCAGATATGTGGGGTGGGACAATGATGAGCCGTCAGAGGGAGAAGACTGGGAGGCGGAGGAGGTGTCAGAAGCTGAAGTGGCGACAGGGCTTAGTGAGCTGGGGGAGTCTGTGGCAGAGCGAAGTCCAGACTCAGAGGCAGAAGCTGTAGCTGGAGAGGAGGCCAAGAGGCAGAGAGGAGTCAGGCTGGGGAAGAGGCACAGGGGTCTCCCCCTCCTGCTGCAACAGGCTCCCCTCCCCTCTGGTTTCCCAGGACCAGAAGAGGCATGAAGTGGGAAGAGCAGAGGCAGACATAGGATCACGTCTCTGTTTGCTTGGGGAAGCCCTAGAGAGGCGGAGACATAGACGGCTGTGGGGAGGTGGGGACCTTCGGTCTCAGCAACTGATCCATGGGGCAAGAGTTGACTGAGCCACTCTGCTCATTGGGCCTGGCGATCCTGTTTTTGCTCACAAGGAGTTCACTCCCAGCTGGCTGGGGTGATGCACTGCTGGCTGGCTGCTGTCGTTTGGTACCCTGAAGGACGCCTCGTTCTCCTTTATGGATGTCCTTTGGGGAAGGGTGTCTGCAAATAATAATAATAATAATAATAATAATAATACTAATAATAATAATAATAATAATTTATTATTTATACCTGCACCCATCTGGCTGGGTTTCCCCAGCCACTCTGGGCGACTTCCAACAGAATATTTAAATATAATAGTCTATTAAACATTAAAAGCTTCCCTAAAGAGGGCTGCCTTCAGATGTCTTCTAAAAGTCAGATAGTTGTTTATTTCCTTGACATCTGGTGGGAGGGCATTCCACAGGGCGGGTGCCACCACCGAGAAGGCCCTCTGCCTGGTTCCCTGTAACTTGGCTTCTCGCAGTGAGGGAACTGCCAGAAGGCCCTTCAAGCGCTGGACCTCAGTGTGTGAGCAGAACGATGGGGGTGGAGATGCTCCTTCAGGTCTACTGGACTGAGGCCATTTAGGGCTTTCAAGGTCAGCACCAACACTTTGAATTGTGCTCAGAAACGTCCTGGGAGCCAATGCAAAGGAGAGTGAGGTGCTCTATGGGGCAAGGCACCCACCTCCCCTCCGCTGCGTGCTTGCATCTCAGCAATCGGGAAATGCCAGGCACACACGGTGCTCTCTGCTCACGCACAAGCCCAGATCAAGGCAGCCGGACCTGTTGAAGAGGCACCTGGGAGAAGAGGATGCTGGACTAGGTTGGACTGGTTAAACTGGGCTTCGGTGGCCGTGAGCCCCTGGCCGATTGTTGACAGTGCGCTTTGTCATTCACACACACGTGCAAACGTGCGAGCCGCTCCTTCCCGCCCCAACTCTGCTCTCCCTCCTTCCCCCCAACAGGGCCCTCCAGGACGCCCTGGCATCCCTGGCTCAGATGGATCTCCTGGACCCCCTGGCACGTCCATGATGCTTCCGGTGAGTCGGGATGGCCGAGAGAGGCCGGCCGGTATCAAGGTCCTAAACCAGAGATTGACATCTAGGATCTTCAGGGATTAAATGTGGGGTAGTTCTCGAGGACGCTGTGAGCGGCCAATCAGTCCCAGTTTCTTCAGGGATTAGGGTTGGGGTTCTTGACAACATGAACACTAGCCAATCAGAGCTGTGCACAGCCCAGTTCTGCTACAGACAGATGGCTCTCCCCTGGAAATCAGCCCTGAAAGGAGTCTGAGGGAAACATCTCCCTCCAACTGGGGTTGGGGGGCAAATGTGTGGATGTGGGGGTGTTTGGGTGCCTCTCAGTGGGGCAAATGTGTGGGGTGTTTGGGTGCCTCTTGGTGGAACCTCAACTCTGCCTCTTCCCTCCCTCAGTTCCGATTTGGGAGCAGCGGTGGTGGAAAGGGGCCAGTCGTGGCGGCCCAGGAAGCCCAAGCCCAGGCCATCTTGCAACAAGCTCGGGTGAGTCCGGTTTCAGGGGGGGATGAAGATGGTGATGAAGACCCCCCCCCATTTACTTCCCCTATTAAAGTCCAGGGAACGGTGGTCTTTGCTTCCTGATGGCCCACCCAGATTTCTCTGCCTTCCTTTCTGGGGCAGGGGTCCTTGTCTGACCTGACACTGGTCTTCCAAGACCGTGAAAGAGGGGCTGGTTTTTTTGGGTGCAACGAGGGACCCTATGAAGAGAGGCGGCAGCCTTTGGGGCATCTCAGTTTAGAGGAAAAAATGAGGAAGAGCCCACAGGGCAGAAGATTATGAAATATAATATGCCTGGCGTAGATAAAAAGGAGAGAGAGAAAAAGGTTTTTCTCCCTCTCTCATAACACTCAATGAAGCTGAATGATGGAAGGTTCAGGACAGATGAGAGGAAGTCCTTCTTCACAGAGTTCAGCTGTGGAACTCCCTGCCACCGGAGTCAGGGATGGGGTCACCAACCTGAATGCCTTCAAAAGAGGGTTAGGATTAGTAAGGAGGAGAGGGCTTCTGAATCCCACTGCCTGGAAACCCCAGGAGGGGAGGGGGCTGTCCTTGTGCTCAAATCCTGCCTCCGGGTTTCGTACTGGGGCATCTGCTTGGCCACTGTGAGCAGGATGCTGGCCTAAGTGAGAAGGCCCTTTCCTATGTTCTCGTGGAACCTCCAGGCCCAAAGGCAGTCTATCTGGAGCCCTAGTTTCTTAGGGGCATTGGGCCACTGTGAGAATACAGGGTGCTGGACAAGAGGGGGTCCCCGGCCTGATCCGGCGAGGCTCTTTCCCTGCTCTTAAAAGTCCTCTCTGAAGGAATGACCGCTGGATGTGGAGCACGCTTTCACCTGAAGACAAGCCACAGCTGTCTGACCATCATGCCCTCTATCTAACCTTTGTCTTTCTCAGTGGTCTGCCGTGCCCTGTCTGTGACCTTTGTCTCCTCCGTCACATTGTGCAAGGGGAAAATGACGTGGTGGAGACAGGTGCCAAAATAACTTTGTACCACCCCACGATCTCAGGATTGGAAGATGTGTAAAGGTCACAGTCTGCAAAATTTATCTGACTGGTTTTGCATATTGTGCTAATAAAAAGAGCCTCCACAGAGCTAGCTGGCAGCTTGCTTAGGCCCAGCTCACCTGCGTTACCAACTCCTGCCTCCTGCCTTCACTTCACCTCTCCCTCCCACTCACGTCCACACGCTCTTCCAGTGATGGTCTGGTACGAACACCTTAACCTCTTCTCCCTCCCCTTTTCTTTCCTCCGCAGCTGGCCTTGCGTGGCCCCCCAGGACCCATGGGCTATACGGGTCGTCCTGGACCCCTGGTGAGTATTTTGCTTGGGGGTGTGATTGGGTTTGTTTCCTGGGGCTCAGAGTAGAAGGACTTGGGTGCGTTTGGAAGAGCCACTGTCACCCAGGACGACGGCTCAATACATCCAGAATCCAACAGTGCTGTGGTGGTTTGAGTTTCGGACGAAGACCTGGAAGGAACCAGAGTTCGAATCCCCCCTCAGTCGTGAGGTGTGTGGCAATGCTGTCGGAGCAAAAAGCAATTCAGCACCATGAATCGGGCCCGGAAATGAAGCTGGCGACCAGGGCGTCTGTTTCTGGAATGTGGGTTTCTGTGAGATCTAAAAGGAGCTGCAGCCAGCAATTTGGCCACTGCATTTTGGAGCAAGTGAAGTTTCCGAGTCGTCTTCAAGGGCAGCCCCAGACAGAGCAGATTGCAGTAGCTGAGTCAACAGCTAATGCTATTCTGGGCTGCATCAACAGAGGTCTAGTGTCCAGGTCAAGGGAAATCATAGTCTCACTCTCTTCTGCCTTGGTCAGGCCCCACCTGGCCTATTGTGTCCAGTTCTGGGCGCCACAATTTAAGAAGGATGTTGACAAGCTAGAACATGTGCAGAGGAGGGTGAGCAAGATGATCAAGGGTCTGGAAAGTGAGCCTGATGAGGAACGGTTGAAGGAGCTGGGTATGTTTAGCCTGGGAAAGAGGAGACTGAGAGGAGATAGGAGAGCCATCTTCAGATATCTTAAGGGCTGTCACATGGAAGAGGGAGCATGCTTGTTTTCTCCTGCTCTCGAGGGTAGGATTTGAACCAATGGCTTCAAGTTGCAAGAAAGGAGATTCTGACTAAACATCAGGAAGAACTTTCTGACAGGAAGAGCTGTGTGACAGTGGAAAGGGTTCTATACGCCAGACCATGGGCTACATAGAGCAGAGCTTTCCAGACTTCATGTTGGTGACATGCATCACTTCGTGACACAGTAATTCAGTTTCGCATCACTTCGTGACACAGTAATTCAGTTTTGCAACATTTCGCGGCACAGTAATTCGGTTTTGCGTCATTTCGCGGCACATTAATTCAGTTTCGCGACACAGTAATTCACAGTAATTCACGACACAGTAATTCAGTTTCGCATCACTTCGCAACACAGTAATTCAGTTTTACTAGCAAGCCAGAGGTTAAACTAACCCATTTCCAGCCCTGGGAGGATTCGCACGACTCGCCGACACGCTGCAGCCGAAACACTAGTGTGTCCACTACCTCAATCTCTTTGAAGGGAAAGCTGGGATACAAACGCAGCCAATTTGAATTTGTTAGTTACTTTATCTTCCCAAGGGCAGCCCAAATGGATAAATAATCGCCGTACCAAGCCAGATGAAATGCGCAGCCCTTCAGAGCTAAGAATGTCTTTCCTCTGTCTTCCAGGGTCAACCTGGCAGCAACGGCATGAAGGGAGAGCACGGAGACTTTGGTCCCCAGGTAAGCTGGCTTCCCAACCTGAGCTGGGGGCCCCCTGCCAGCGCCCCAGTCTCTCCTCTCCCCCCAAAACCCCCCTTTAGCACAACCGCGTCGTCTGACCTCCTTCCGTTCAAAGTGGCTGGCAAACGAGACAGAACAGCCGCGCATCAGAACATCGCAAGCTCCGTGTGAATCGTACGAGATGGCGAGGAAATAATCAGCAAAACAATTGCAAAAGCATTTAGAAAACAACAAAAACATGAGCTGAACATCCCAAGCACGATATAAGTTGTGTTTTATTGGATCTGCTTGAGCTGAGATTCCTGCATTGCAAGGGGTCAGACTAGAGGATCCTTGGGGAGCCCAACTCTATGGTTTTCTGGCTCACACAGACCCATTACACACCACCCCAGAGGACCTGCGTACGAGCTGGGCTTTTGCTGATTTGTTCCCGGGTCCTTCAGCCAGGCATATCAGACCCCCCAAGTGACCCTATTTCCCAGGGACAGTCCCGATTTCTGATTTGACCCCAGAATCTCCCACATTTCCTTAGGACACCCCTGTTTCCATGGGAGAAATGTTGGAGGGGATGTGATATTCCCAAAACCAGCAGAAAGTAGCCAACTGCCGTCATCTCCATGTTCTTGGGGTCATTTGGCTACTGCCCTCCCAGCTCAGATTCCTCCCCCCCCTAAAAATCTATTGGCTGCTACAGACCTCAAATGCAACAGACATCTGGTGGGGGGACGGGACCCCTACCCAATTCCCCACCCCTCTTTCATGAAGTCCCAGGGTTTCCTCTCTCCTCCCCCCCCAAATGTTTGGGGACAAGACAGGGCACCCTAATACTACGCTCTCTTTCTCCACTTAGGGTCCTCGAGGTCCACAGGGGCTGACTGGACCCCCAGGGAAGCCTGGACGCCGAGTAAGTTTCTGTTTCTGATGTTTATTTATTTTATTTTTTTAATTAATGGAGGCAGGTTGCCGTTTTTTGCCTTCTCTGTGACCCCTTCGTTGTGGTGGGGTTGGTCTAGATGAGCCCCGGGGTCCCATTCCCGCATGGCGATCCTACAGTCCCGGGAGTCCTGAAAAGTCGTGGAATAAAAGTAAAAAATAACAGTAGTGATTTGCTTGAAAGTTAGGCAGGGTGAGCCTTTGAGAAGGTGATGTTTTGGAAGATTTGGGGCAGATTAAAGGGAAGGACTTCTTTGTGCAGTGGAAACTGTGGAACTCTCTGCCACAAGGGGCATTGACGGCGGCCACCAACGTGGATGGATTTAAAAGAGGGTTAGGCAAATTAAGGACCGAGCCACCATGGCTGTGCTTTGCCATCGCAGTCGGAGGCGGTCGAATGCTTCTGAATCCCAGTTTCTGGAAAACCGCTGGAGGGGAGAGGGCTCCTGGTTTGAATCCTGCTTATGGGTTTCCCACAGGAGTCTGGTCAGCCGTTGTGAGAACAGGATTCCGGACTAGACGGGCCCTTGGCCTTCTCATGTTCTGATGGGTCCCTGCCATGGGAGCATATTCACCCAGTGCTTTTCCAGCTGCACTGGCTCCCGGTGGAGTACAGGGTCAGATTTAAGGTGCTGTTCTTGACCTTTAAAGCCCTTTGCGGCTTAGGGCCCTCGTATCTACGGGACCACCTCTCCTGGTCTGCCCTGCAGAGGACCTTAAGGTCCATGAATAACCATAGTTTAGAGGTCCCGCGCCCTAAGGAAGTCAGACGATCCTCCACCAAGGCCAGGGCCTTCTCAGTGATGGCTCCGACCTGGTGGAATGCTCTGTCCCACGAGACCAGGGCCCTGCAGGATTTAACCTCCTTCTGCAGGGCCTGTAAGACAGAGCTAGTCTGCCTGGCTTTCCATTTGAACTTAGCCTGATCTTTTATTCCCCTTCCTTCCCTCCCCTTCCCCTTTTAATGAAGATTTCCCACTCTGGGATCCCACAGCTCATTCTCCCCTGGTCTTCTCGCTGGCCCGAATAGGACTAATTTAGTCAGCTAGCCCTGGTAGTGGATGGATTTCCCCACCAAATTGATTTTTGATTTTATTCTTATTTACGCTTTCTGAACCAGGAAGGGAGGGGTATAAATAAAAATTTATTATTATTATTATTATTATTATTATTATTATTATTATTATTATTATTACAGTGGTACCTCGCAAGACGAATGCCTCGCAAGACAAAAAACTCGCTAGACGAAAGGTTTTTCCGTTTTCGATTTGCCTCGCAAGACGAATTTCCCCTATGGGCTTGCTTCGCAAGACGAAAATGTCTCGCGACTTTGTTTTCTTTGTCTAAAAAGAAAGACATGTTTTGTTTATAAAGTTAATTTATTTTCCCTTCAATTTTTGAACTGCTCTTTACAGTATGTGTGACTTTAAAGAGCAGTTAATAAACTGTTGTTGTACCAAATTTGGCTTTGTTTGGACTTTTTTTGACCATAGGAACGCATTAATTGATTTTCAATGCATTCCTATGGGATTTCGTGCTTCGCAAGACGAAAAATTCGCTAGACAACAAAAATTGCGGAACGAATTAATTTCGTCTTGCGGGGCACCACTGTATTATTATTATTATTATTATCCCTCCATCAACCTGCCTCTCTCCCTCCCTTCCACAGGGTCGTGCTGGAGCGGACGGTGCCCGGGGGATGCCCGGGGAAACGGGCATCAAGGTAAGGCGACCCTCTGGGCGTTGCAGCGGGTTGGGCTAGATGACCGCTGGGGTCCCTTCCAACCCGACAGTTCTGCCATTCTAGAGAATGGGCCTGTGGGGAACGTGGTTTCATGAGGACTAGCGCCGTCCCCTCGGGATTTGCCATCCTGACCTTGTGAGAAGGGGGGGCTCACCTTTCCCTTCTCTCTCTCCGCAGGGCGATCGCGGGTTTGATGGGCTCCCAGGCCTCCCGGGGGAGAAAGGCCACCGGGTAAGTGAAACGGGGAGCCTGCGAGTCGGGGGTCGGCAGCCCCACCTGAATTGCTCACTGCAGGAGGGTGGGCTTGATGACCCCTGGGGGTCCCTTGCAATTCCACCATGCTGTGATTCTAACTCTTGGAATACCCCTTTTGCATCTCCAGTGGCTTTGCTCCAAGGGAGTCCTGTGGAACTCGCTGCCACTGGAGATTCAGCAGGAGCCCTCTGTGCCAACTTTTAAAACTCCTGCTAAAAACGTTTCGATTCCGCCAGTTCTGTGCAGGCATTTGATAATACGCAGAATCCTCCTTCCAGAGGGGTTAATTTTTTTTAGGCTGGCGTTTATTATACAGTTCTATGTTTCCATTGCCGTAAACCGCCTTGGATATTTTTAAAATAAAAATGCTACATAAACTAATTCATTTTTTGAATAATTCTTTAAAAATATTTATTAAATTTTATAACAATTAATAATACAAATCTCATTCATCGTGTTATTTACAATTATTCTCCCTCTGGACTTCCCTCAACACCCCCTCTGCTGAGTTATTTAGTTTTATTTATCGTATCCTGTTTTTCTGCACAAAAATAAAATCCCTTATTATTTCTCTAAAATATCTTTTACTCAAATGAAGTTGTGGAAGTTTATTCAAATCCTGCCAGTGAATCCAGTCCATTCTGTTGTTTCTGCAAATAGACTGTAAATGGTTCCCAGACTCTTTTGAAGTCCCTTTTGTCCTTCTCTCGTAGTTTGCCTGTTAGCTTAGCCAATTCTGCAGAGTTCATCAGCTTTTCTTGCCATTGTTCCTTTGATGGTATTTCTTCCATCTTCCAATATTGTGCAGTCAAGATTCTTGCCGCTGTTGTGGCATACATAAATAATGTCCATTTTTCTTTCGATAGCTCTTATAGCTCTTGATTTGAGATACCGAACAAAAAGGATTCTGGGTGTTTGGCAAAATTCATTTTAAACATTTTTTTTCAATTCATTGTATATCATTTCCCAATATTTTTAATGGATCTGCATTCCCACCACATATGACAAAATGTTCCTTCCTTTTCCTTACATCTCCAACATCTGTTATTTTCTTTCCTAAACATCTTTGCCATTTTCACTGGTGTGATATACCATCTATACATCATTTTCATGTAATTATTTCTTAATAGTATGCAATCTGTGAATTTTATATCAACTTTCCGTAATTTTCCCCAACTTTCAAGTTGGATGTTGTGTCCCACATCCTGAGCCCATTTAATCATAACTGATTTAACCTCTTCATCCTTGGTTTCCCACTCTAATAAAATACTATATGCTTTAACATTCTCTTCCACTATTTCTTTTTGAAATCTGGAGATTGTATAACTAAACCCCTTTTTATTGTCTTCCTTAAAATTTTCATTTAATTGCCTATGGTGTAACCAATTTTGTAAACAGTCTTTCACCTCATCATACTCTCTTAATTTGAGTTTTCCTTCTTCTTCTGCTAATAACTCTCTATATGTCAACCAGCTTACTTTTTTGGTCGACTTAAGTGAAAATACTTCAGTAGGTGACAGCCACCATGGTGTTTTCCACTCTAACAGAACTTTATATTTTCCCAGACTCTTATTAATGACTTTCTTATTATATGACTTGAAAAACCTTTAAGTATTTTTCCCTTTCCCATACCATAAATATGAGTGCCAGCCAAATCTATTGTCGTGTCCTTCTAATTCTAACGCTTCTTCTTTTTCTAATTTTATCCAATCCTTTATCCAAATAAGACATGCTGCTTCAAAATACAATTTCAAATCTGGGAGGGAAAAGCCTCCTCTATCTCTTTAGTCTGTTAGTATCCTTATGTTTTATCTTTGGTCTTTTCCCATTCCAGATAAATTTTGAAATATCTTTTTGCCATTTTTTGAAGGATATATTGTTATTTATCACCGGGATCATCTGAAATAGAAATAGTATCTTTGGCAAAGCACTCATCTTTATTGCTGCAATTTTCCATAACATGGAAAGATTCATCCTTCCCCAGATTTCTAGATTTCTTTTAATTTCATTCCATATTTTCTCATAATTATCTTTTTATATATTTATGTTTCTTGTTGTTAACCATATTCCTAGGTACTTAACTTTTTATGAATTTCAATTCCTAACTCTTGGGATAGTTCTTTCTTCTCTTTTATCCTCTCTAATATTCCTTGCTAAAACTTCCAGGACCATAATAAATAAAAGTGGTGAGAATGGGCATCCTTGTCTTGTTCCTTTCTGAATCTCATACTGTTTTGTCATCACTTAATTTACAATTAGTTTTGCTCTTTGTTCTGAGTAAATAGCTTGGACTCCCCTCCTATATTTTTCTCCAAATTCCATCTCTTCTGGGACTTTTTCCATAAAGTCCCAAGAGATATTATCAAAGGCTTTCTCTGCGTCTATAAACATTAGGGCCGCTTGTTTTTCATTTCTAACTTCCAGGTATTCTATTATATTCAAAATAGTTCTTAAACTGTCTTTCATTTATCTACCTGGTAGAAACCCTGCTTGGTCTCTATGAATATATTCCTCTAAAACCTTTTTTAATCTGTTTGCTAAGATGTACACAAACAGTTTGTAATCATTGTTTAAATAGAGAAATAGGTCTATAATTTTTAACTGACATCAAATCTGACTCTTGTTTTGGAATTAGTGTTATATATGCTTCTTTCCATGTCTCTGGAACCTTCCCTTCCCTATTTTTAGAATTTAATACATCAGATCTTTTAGAGGGTTCACAAGCTGCTCACTCAGTTTCTTAGCTGAGATCCCATCCGGTCCAGGTGTGATCCTGCTGCCACGGGGCTCTTAACAACAACAACAACAACAACAACAACAACAACAACAACAACAAATTATGTAGGCTTTCCTTGGTACTTTCTGACCGCTCCCTGGCAGGCGGAAGTTCAACAGGTGAATCCTTTCACCCTCACTGAATGCACCTGTTGAACTTCTGCATCTCATCCCTCTGGAGGCCCAGACGGAGCCCAAAGGAGCTTGGGTTTCCTGACCCCATTGGAAGCGTCCTGGGCCCATAACCTATTGGCAAAACCTATTGGTCTTTCTGACTAGTTGCAGGGCCTTAACCAGACCTAGCAGAGTAAACGCAGAGTTCACGAAAGCAATTGGCAACTTGGCTGCAGACAGGATGGACGAACCAGGAACCAGGAACTTGTAGTTAGGTGTTTATTATATACTGTGGACTATTTAAAGGAACAGAACACGGATCTTTAGCTAGCTCTCTCATACACAACTCACAACTCTCAACCTCTAACTCCTACTCTCAAACTCATACTAGCACACATTCCAGTTAGTAGGCCATTAATCATTATTCCCGTGAGAGAGCTTGACCAATCATGGAGCTGTCTCCATGCCTCTGTATCACCAGGCAGACTTACTTCTTCACATTGCCTTGGCTGCCGGCCAAACCGTAATTGACTCTGTGTGAGGAGCTGCACGTATTCAGATTCCCAACAAACTACTGTTCCCAGAATCCCTTGGGTGAAGGAGGCGGGGCCTCGTGCAGGGGGTCTGCTCTTCTGTGTCTCTTCTGATCAGTGTGCCTCTCTCTCACCCCACACTAGGGTGACTCTGGATCTCAGGGTGTTCCTGGTCCCCCCGGGGAAGATGGCGAGAGGGTGAGTACTGGCCGCAGGTGCAAAGAGAGGGGGATTTGGGGTGTAGGGAACATACAGTGGGGTTTGATCCTCCAGAGGTCCGTCCGTCAAGAGAAAGCAGAAATATTATAGGGGGCGGGGAGCAAGACCCCTGTGAGGTTGCCAAGTTTGGAGCTTCTAATCTTGGAGGAAAAGCCTGGAAGAGGAGGAGGCATGGTAGAAATGTACGAATTTATGCATGGAAGGGAGGAAGTTCATTTCCCTCTCTCTTAACACTCGAACCGGTGGACATTCGGGAAAGCGGAATGTGAGAAGATTCAGGATGGAGTTCTTTTTTTAAAAAAGTCATTTTTGATGATTTTCCAATGAAAAACATCCAGTTAATACATCCAATCATAATACTCCAATTGAAATAAAAAAACTAAAATAAAAAAATCAAATTATAGTCCAAATTATAATTATTAATTTTTTGGAGCGCCCCACGGTCTGGATCTCTGAAGGATATCTCCACATCTTAGTCCTGCTTCTCCTCGTTGTTGAGGATGGATTTCAAAAGTCCATATTCACGCAGGTTAACCTACGGAACTCCCTCCCCCATGATGGCTGCCAAAGTTGGATGGCTTTACAAGGGGATGAGAGAAATTCCTGGAGGGGGAAAGGACTGTTCATGGCTGGAAGCAGCGAGGCTTCTGGATCCCAACTGCTGGCAACCACAGGAAGGGAGAGGGGTTCGAACCCTGGTGCCAATTTCCCGCAGGCACTGTGAGGACAAGACGCTGACTTACGCAGGCCCTTTGACCTTATCTCTGCGCATATATATATATATATATAACCCTTTTATAACGTATCTATAACAGAGAGAACCATTGTAACCCCAGGCAAAGATCAACAGGTGAGAAAGAAAACCAGAATGAGTCCAGTTGTACCAGGGTTAAAATGAAAAAGTCTAAGTAAATACTATTGGTGTTATCAGTTTGTCAAGGATAGACTCTTTCCATGTTCCAAGATGATGACGATGATGATAATTGTGGCTTTCAACCAATAGGAAAGCATCTAAAACATCAGACATTAAAAACCAAGTATACGCATCATTTTTCAACCTGCCCATTCAAAAACAGCAGGAGTTGAGATTCTCTGGCGGGCGGGGGGCTTGAGAGCCTTTACGCATACACAGGAATATTTTTTGGTGGAGGGGCGGAGGCAGCGTTCCCTGAGATGAATTCTGCACATGCACAGAGGCCCTGTTGTTCCCTGAGCTCCTTTGTGACTCTGTCTCCCCCCCCCCCATGCAGGGAGACGACGGAGAGGTCGGCCAACGTGGGCTTCCTGGAGAACCGGTGCGTATGGTCCCGTTCCTGCAAGGGATCTTGGGGTCTGGCCAAGTCTGGGGCCCCTATTGGCGTATCCCAATGGCGGGGGCTTCGTCCTCCGAGGGTGACAAGGGGCAGGGAAGGCAGGTGGCAAGTCTTCACCTCCTGCCCGAAGTGGTACAGTCCTCCTGACAGCTGGATCGTAGCCACATTTGCTTCCTGCCAACAAGGCCTTAAGCCCCTCCCTCTTCCCCGGAAGCCCCACCCACCCTTAAAATAAAGGTGGCTATTATTATTATTATAATTTCAAGTACAGTCATACCTTGGGTTACAGACACTTCAGGTTGCGTTTTCTTGGGTTACAGACCGCCGAAACCCAGAAGTGCCGGAACAGTTTACTTCCGGGTTTTGGCACTCGTGCATGCGCAGAAGTGCTAAATTGCGCTTTGCGCATGTGCAGAAGTGCTGAATCGCAACCCGCGCATGCGCAGATGTGCTGCTGTGGGTTGCGAACGCTGGGGGCTGCGAACGTGGATCCCGCACAGATCACGTTCGCAACCCGAGCGTCCACTGTATTGTCAAATTTCTGGACATTACATCAAGGTGGTTCGTAGCTGCTGTGCTTTGATGCCGTACAGTGGACTGTGTCTTTTTATTACTACAACTACTACTGCAGTTTTTTAATCCAGACCAAGCCCCATTTCCAGTCCAGGGGAGAAAACAACAACAACATTAATATTTGTACCCACTGCGGCCCTGCCCCAGTCACTGTGGGCGGCTTACGACAGACATAAAAACACAATACAGTCATACCTCGGGTTACAGACGTTTCAGGTTGCGTTTTTTGGGGTTACAGACCGCCGAAACCTGGAAGTACCGGAATGGGTTTCGGCGGTTGCACATGCGCAGAAGCGCTAAATTGCGCTTTGTGCATGCACAGAAGTGCCAAATCGCAACCCGTGCGTGCACAGACACGCCGCTGCGGGTTGCGAACGTGCATCCCGCACGGATCACATTCACAACCCAAGCACCCACTGTAAAACGTTGAGCATTAAAAACATGGGCCAGCAGTGTGATGCGGCAGATTCTTGCCAAGCAGAGGGCTGGACTAGATGACTCTAGGGGTCCCTTCCTACTTGATAGTTTTGTGATCCAGCTCCCTGAAGGTGAGTGCCTGACCGATTCTCTCTCCTTTCCTTCAGGGACCCCGAGGTCTTCTTGGCCCCAAAGGACCCCCAGGGATCCCAGGCCCTCCGGTAAGTGCTGGGGAGGGGGTTTTCCTGCCCCACTGAGCTGCACCCCCAGCCCCCCAGCCCTAACCGCCTCTTGTGTCTCTGCCTGTTCTCCTGACAGGGTGTGCGTGGCATGGATGGACCCCACGGGCCCAAGGGGAACCTGGTGAGTAATAATAATAATAATTTATTATTTATACCCCGCCCATCTGGCTGGGTTTCCCCAGCCACTCTGGGCGGCTTTCGACAGAATATTAAAATACAATAACCTGTTAAACATTGAAAGCTTCCCTAAACAGGGCTGCCTTCAGATGTCTTCTAGAAGTTTGGTAGTTGTTTTTCTCTTTGACATCTGAAGGGCAGGCGCCACTACCAAGAAGGCCCTCTGCCAGGTTCCCTGTAACCTGGCTTCTCGCAGTTGGGGAACTGCCAGAAGGCCCTTGGAGATGAACCCAGGTGTCCGGGCAGAACGATGGGGGTGGAGACGCTCCTTCAGGTCTACTGGACCAAGGCCATTTATTTCCTTGACATCTTGTGGGAGGGCGTTCCACAGGGCGGGCGCTACCACCGAGAAGGCCCTCTGCCTGGCTCCCTGTAGCTTTGCTTCTCGCAGTGAGGGAACCACCAGAAGGCCCTCGGAGCTGGACCTCAGTGTCCGAGGCTGAACGATGGGGGTGGAAACGCTCCTTCAGATATCCTGGGATGAGTCCGTTTAGGGCTTTAAAAGTCAGACCAACACTTTGAATTGCGCTACTTTGATTCGCCCCGGGGTGCCTTGTGGTGGGTTCTGGGTGGGCTGCCGTCCCAAACTTTCCTGGAAATCTGGGACTCAAAAAGCCACTCGGACGAGGAGCTTCGCCATGTGACCTTGGGCCGCTCACGGTCTCTCATCCTAAGGTTGTTGAGAGGACAAAATGGGGAGCAGGTGATCCCACGAGATCGCCTTTCCCCCCACTGGACCACTTCGATTGACTACAAGGTGCCACACAAGACACTTTCCGTGTTTGTAAGAATTCCATATTTGGCATATTTGGCTCTACACTTTGGAACTCCCTGCCTCTTGATCCCAAGAGGCTGTCCGCTTTTGAGCACCTGCCAAAAACATCCCTATTTTGATAGTTGCTTTTAAAAAGTGGGCGTGAATTTTCCCCTGCTTTAGTATTTTAACTTTCTGTATGTTTTAAAGCAGCGTTGTAGATTTCTCTTGATTGTATGGTTTTCTGTTATTGAAATCTGCTTTGGGTGGTTGTTGTTTTTTTAATACAGTCAAGTGGTCTATAAATTTTAGGAAATGAAGAGAGCGTTAAGAATACACAGTGTATTCTTCTGTGGAGGAAAGTGGCTGGGGATAATTGCTCTCTTGCCCCTTTTGAAGGTGTTCCGCAGGGAAGACAGAGATGCTGTGATTTCTGTACATTGAGGGGCCCCATGCCTGCCTCCCACCCCATAATAATAATAATAATAAATTAATTAATAATAAAAATTTATTTATATCCTGCCCTCCCCAGCTGAAGCGGGGCTCAGAGCGGTTAACAACGATAAAAGTAACACAGTTTCCATAAAAACACAATCAATTAATTAAAATACATTCTAAAATCAATTCAAAATCAAATTCATGGCAACCATAGGGCTGGAGTTCTGTGAGGATGACCAAAGGAGGGGGTCAGGCTGTGCCTTGGCCAAAGGCCTGGCGGAACAGCTCCGTCCTGGTCTCTTGGCACAGAGCGTTCCACCAGATTGGGGCCACAACCGAAAAGGCCCTGGCTCTGGTTGAGGCCAGCCTAACCTCCCTGTGGCCCGGGACCTCCAAGATGTTTTTGTTTGAAGACCGTAAGGTCCTCCGCGGGACATACCAGGAGAGGCGGTCCCGTAGGTACGAGGGTCCTGGGCCATGATGCTCCCCAGTTTCGGACTGCGACAATCTGACTCTGAATATCTTGTTTTTGACCAGGGACCTCAAGGGGAGCCGGGACCCCCTGGCCAGCAGGGGACACCAGGGACGCAGGTGAGTGAACACGTCAGAGGACCCCCGCTGGATCCGTCCCCAACATCCTCCTTCCCGCTCACCCCCACGGCATGACGTCTGCAGGCCGGCTGGCACTGCCCCTGAATGGGGAGGTTCCGTACGGCGGCCATCAGGACTGGCTCACAGGCCCCTTTCCTCTCCAGACACATCGCTTTGAGGAGAAGCTCCAGCTGCCGTTCCTCAACCTGGTGCCCTCCAGACTTTTCAGACTACGATTCCCATCGGCCCCACAGGGTTTAGGGAATGGTGGGAGTTGCAGTCCAGGGCCTCAGGTTGGGAGAAGCCAACGCCAAACGCTGCTAGATAGATTCCGAGCCAACGTTGATTCCTGCGTTTTGGGGGGTTGGACTAGATGACCCTGGGGTCCCTTCCAGTGCTGTGATTCCTGTGTTTGGATCAGCCTTTGGCCTAAGATCTGCTCTTGTCCGTTTAATATCAGATACGTCCTCTACTAAGTGGATTTTTGGAGCTGGGAGATGGCAGAGGGACTGGCTCCATCCGCTCCCCATCTGTGGAGTGTTTTTGTGGGTTCAAAAAGTAGAGGGAAGCAAATTTGCAAGCTTATCTCTATTCGAGAACAGACAACTTCCAAGAAGTGCTCCTTCGAAGCTGCAGCTTGCCTGCTTCTCAGAAAACGGGCTGATTCTCTTTGCTTCAGATGAAAAGGGGAGACAAAATGCATCAAATTGGGTGAATTTGCCTGGGAAATAGAAATTCTTCCCGGGTTTGGTGTGGGGCCTTTTTGACCGTCTCCGGAAACATCTCTAGAGGAGGCCTCCGGCCGACAACTGTGAGAGCAGGATGAGACCCCTTGGGCCCGATCCCGCAGGCTCTCCTGACCTTCTGGTCCCAAAGGAACGACCCGAGCGAGGAAGGGTTTGAGGGGCCACCAGAAAGAACTGGGAGGGTGGACGTTCTTGTCCTTGGGTGGGGGGCTCAGGAGGGCATATCCAGGAAGTGGGCTGGGAGGACCCCCTTCACCCAACGTTCTCCTCTTTCTCCTTCTTCTCAGGGATTGCCGGGACCTCAAGGTGCAATGGGACCTCATGGGGAGAAGGTGAGCTGGGAGGGACCCCTGGCTTGCTGACCGAGAGGGGCAGCCGCGCCAAAGCCCAAAGCAGGGAGGGGGCCACTGGGTTAGGTTGGGTAGGGTTGGGTTTTAGGATTGGGTTTTAGGGTTGGGTTGGGTTGTAGGGTTGGGATGGGATGGATTTTAAGGTTGGGCTTTAGGGTTGGGTTGTAGGGTTGGGTTGGGTTTTAGGGTTGGGTTGGGTTGGGTTTTAGGGTTGGGTTGGGTTTTAGGGTTGGGTTGGGTTGGGTTTTAGGGTTGGGTTGGGTTTTAGGGTTGGGTTGGGTTTTAGGGTTGGGTTTTAGGGTTGGGGTGACCATTCTTGGGCTCATGGGATTTTCTCCTTCAGGGCCCCAGAGGGAAACCTGGACTTCCGGGGATGCCTGGTTCTGACGGCCCGCCTGTAAGTACCTGCCCCTCACCACTGCTTCAGGCCTCCCTTGGCTCAGTGGCCCCCCAGCAAAGATGGGAGCCATGCTTAACAGGAAGTGGCTGGTGGCCGTGTCCTCTACCCTTCTTGGGGTTCCCACTGAAGAGAGAACGCTGAGAAGCCACTGTTTCTGTCAAGTGGAAGACAATGTTAACATGATTATGGTGGGGTTTTCCTAGTCGCCATGCCAGGACGCCAGTCCCCACACCAACACCTTCACCCACCCATGGTCACAACCATGCAACCATGTTGCAGCAGTTTTGTGGCCGGCCTACCCTGCAATGCAAGCGGGTTGGGGCCCTTGCAAAAAAGCAGGGCAGGCCCCTAAGATCCCCCCAAAGGGTGGTCCTTCTGTCCTGGTCATGGCAGCTCCACAAAGTGTCGCAGATCAGCCTCCCACAGGGTAAACTGTGAAATGTTGGCATGTCGGCCACTTTCGGGGCCCACAGGGGGCAGTTTCAAACAGGAAGTGTGCTCTTTGCATTCCCTGGTAGCCATGTTAAACAGGAAGGCAGCCATATTAGACAGGAAGTGAGTTGATGTAGCAGCCTTGTTAAACAGGAAGTGAGTTGATGTGGCAGCCATGTTAAACAGGAGTGAGTTGATGTGGCAGCCTTGTTAAACAGGAAGTGAGTTGATGTGGCAGCCATGTTAAACAGGAAGTGAGTTGATGTGGTAGCCATGTTAAACAGGAAGTGAACTACGGTCAGTAGTAGTAGTAGTAATAATAATTAATTTCAATTTACATACGGTACCACCCTTTATCCCAGGGTGGTGTACAACATTAAGGACATAATTTATGCAGTATAATAATAAAAACACAATACAAAGCATAATGATAAAATAATCGTACTGTAATCATTCCACCCCCCACATTTTACATAGCCTGCTAGTCATATTAGACAGGAAGTGAACTACAGCCACATCCTTTGTGCCTTCTCCTGGCATTTTCCAGCTGAACTCCCATGTCCCCAAACGGCTTTCCCCTGGCCCTGGGCAAAGAAGGCCCTGGCAGCCTGGCATGGAGATTTGCCCTCTTCCCAAATAGTGGGATTCAAAAAGGAGGCAGCAATCCCGTGGTTTATTAACTCAACTCCTTCTTGCTCTCTCTCTCCTTCCTTTCACCCCTTTCTCTTAGGGCCACCCTGGCAAAGAGGGGCACCCAGGCACCAAAGGAAACCAGGTGAGAAGGGGCAGCCCCACGCCCAGCACGTGGCAGCAGTCTAACCAGGGGGGGTGATGGGGGAAGTATGGAGTAGCGCCCTGAGGCTCTCCCCGCCCACGAACGGCTGTAGGTGGCAGATCACCAGGTGTCGGAAACGGTTTCTCTGAGCCACTCACACTGTGTGGGTCTCTGCTGACAGCAATGGGTCTTCAAGAGGGAGAACAAGCCTTTCCAGGGCGGGCAGGCAGCTCAGTTTCCAGACCATAAGTGAAAAAATATCCCAGGAAGAGCAAAGTACACACAAAAAAGGATGCTTTTATTTTTGGACTCCTGCTATGCCCTTTCCAGACACTAGGTGGCAGGAGGAATCAACACAGAGAGCAGCGCTTCCTTTTCCATCCAGCAGGAGGCAGTGCAGTCTCACGCATACAAAGACATGCAGCGCACTGTTAACTTGTGGAACTCCCTCCCACTGGAGGCGGTGATTGACAGCTGCCAACCTAGATGGCCTCAAAACAGGGTTAGGCAAATTCAGGGAGGAGGAGAGGGCTCTTGATGGCTACTAGCTGGAATGCCAGTTGCTTGAATTCGGAATCCAGAATCGGGTTCGAATCCTGCTTGCGGTTTCCTCACAGGCATCTGGTTGGCCACTGGACTAGACGGTTAGGTTCTTAGGTCCTTATGAAACCCAGGTTCGCACGGACTTTGAAAAGGCCTCTCTTGTAGGGACCCTCACAGACACACAGAGTGGAAGGAGAGGGTTGCATCCTGAGCAACTTGGTACTTCCACCTTGCCTGAAATCCAGAGATTTGCTGGGAAAACGGGGGCGTTGAGGGGCAGAGGGCAGCAGGGTCGGTCATTTCCCCATCCTACCTCTTAGCCAACACAGGCAGAAATCCAGCTTCGACTGGCATGGAGAAGGGGAGCGGGCAGCACCTGTTGAATTTCAGCCTGCCCTGCAGCTCTTAAAAGTCATGCTGGTAAACTGATGGATTTAATAAGACACAAATCCAAAACTACAGTACAGAAACAATGGGAATGCTTAAATGAATATTCACACAAGCAGGGCTCAAATGCGAAAGTTTGGTTGTGCTTAGACTAACCTTGTGAAGAATATAGAGAACACAAAGATTTGATGGACTATGAAAGAACTAAAGGAAAGGAAGTGACCGAAGAACAGATGGAAAGGTGAAACGAAGAGACGTGTGGTGATTTCGGTGGAAGTCTTTTAGAATATTTTAACTAGGATTTATATATTGTAATGCTTGAAGTATAAATTTGGTATTATTGATTGTGAAAAGTATTTTCTTTTTCTTTTTCCTTTTTCCTTTCCTTTTATCTTTCATCCCTTTTCTTTTCTAGTCTGCATGTTGGAAAATACGTAGACAAATGTGTTTACAGTGTTATGTATTGATTTTTGTTTCTATTTTTTCTTTTTATTTTCTTGTAATATAATAAAAACTAATTTTTAAAAAAGTCATGCTGGTGGAGGAGCGGAATGATCAGGGCTGGGAGGCCCTGATCCGTGAGGGTCTTCTGGTGGGCATTTGGGGGGGGTCCCTCCTTGTGATGTATCCTCTGACCGGCTCCGCCTCTCTCTCTCTGTTCTCCCCTTCCAGGGCCCGTCTGGTCCTCAGGGGCCAGTTGGCTACCCGGGGCCTCGCGGGGCGAAGGTAAGCAAGCGCCTGATTGGCTCACGGGACTTGGCAGGGCTGGATTTCCCACCGTCCTTTGCTTCCGAAGCGCAGGGCTGCCCTTTCCGATTGGGAGAAGGGGAGAAGGGCGGCCCCTTGGGAGCCTTAGAGAAGTTGCAAGGGGCCCCTGGAGGTCATCTAGGCCCAACCCCCTGAAGCCATCCTTGCAGCCTAGGACCCACGTACCTGTGGGACTGCCTCTCCTGGTATGCCCCGCGGAGGACCTTAAGGTCCACAAATGACAACATTTTGGAGGCCCCAGGTCGCAAGGTGGTTAGGTTGGTCTCAACTAGGGCCTTTTCAGTACTGGCCCTGACTTGGTGCAACACTCTGTCACAAGAGACTAGGGCCCTGCGGGACTTGACATCTTTCCGCAGGGCCTGCAAGACAGAGCTGTTCCGCCTGGCCTTTAGTTTGGACTCGGTCTGACCCTTATGTTTCTCTCCCCTTATGGTTCTGATCTATGAGCTACTTTTAAAATGAGGCTGCATTTTAAATTGCATTTGAACTTTTATTTTAAATTGGTCTCTCCCCCCCGCCCATTATGTTTTTACTGTAATTTTACTGGTATTAGCCGCCCTGAGTCCGGCTCTGGCCAGGGAGGGCGGGATATTATTATTATTATTATTATTATTATTATTATTATTATTATTATATAAGGTGGCATATGCAGTCAGAATGAAATAAATCGAGTGGGCCTCTCCCTCGCTCCTCCGCTGCAATTTGTATTTTTCTGCAAATATTTCCCTGCGATCTTCAGTTAGTGGGTAGTATACAAATCTAATAAGGGATGCGGGTGGTGCTGTCGGTTAAAACACAGAGCCTAGGACTTGCCGATCAGAAGGTCGGTGGTTCGAATCCCTGCGGCGAGGTGAGCTCCTGTCGTTCGGTCCCAGCTCCTGCCCACCTAGCAGTTCAAAAGCACCCTTAAGTGCAAGTAGATAAATAGGTACCGCTTTATAGCGGGAAGGTAAACGGCGTTTCCGTGTGCTGCTCTGGTTCACCAGAAGCGGATTAGTCCTGCTGGCCACATGACCCGGAAGCTGTACGCCGGCTCCCTCAGCCAATAAAGCGAGATGAGCGCCCCAACCCCAGAGTCGGTCACGACTGGACCTAATGGTCAGGGGTCCCTTTACCTTTACCTTTTTATACAAATCTAATAAATAACAGTAATAAGAATGGTTGCACACCTTGTAACTGTTCTGGGAAAACTGGGGGGATTTTATTTTTTTTGCATGAGAGAATGACGGTCATTTTGGGTGCTGTGATCTCGCACCACAGTCTTATCCCCAAAAAGTTTTAGAAAGTTGCAACAGTTACATTGTTCTGGAGCTCTATATAAGCAGGCTGACTGAGCTCCTCGGTTCAGTTCTGTTCTGGCCTTTGAATAAACAAGAGCTGTTCGAAGAATCGCTGTGTTGTCTGATATGTTCGCCCACAACTTAACAGTCTCCCCCCAAACCCCTCTCTCTCCTCGTAGGGAATGGACGGCATTCGAGGCTTCAACGGCCACAAAGGAGAAAAGGTGGGTTTTGGGGAAGGGAACTGGCAGTTCAGAAAACAGCAGCGGCAGCCCCCAAAACCCACATTTCTGTTCAGCTACGGAGAAAACACGGAATCCCATAACTGTAGGGTTTGGAGGGGCCCCCAGGTGTCATCTAGTCCAACCCCCCACAATCGCAGCAAAGGAATCACTGGCAGGTGGCCATTGTTGTAAACAAATAAATCTGCCCTTTTTCCCTTATGGGGGACACAAGAGCCCATATAGAGTCCTTACGTAGGTTCCCTATTGGTAGGAGAAAAGAACAGAGGCCAACCAGAGATTATTGAGAAGCAAAGCAGCTAGTAAGCCTGATCTTTATTGATCTGTTGCAACAGGGTGCTCCACTCACACGCAGGAAAGGAGGAGGAACCCAGAACAATGGTGCACAAGGTCTTATATAGACATCTTAAATTCCCTGCCCTGGAGCTCAAGACCACCCCTCCATACATCATGCATACATCACAGAAGGGGTGTAACCTAAGACCACCCCCCAGATTCATCACAGAAAAGGCGGTCTACAGCAGAAATCTGAGTGCTTTGCTTACCTCCTGTCTGGCAGGTTACCTGTTAATGCTCACTTGATTGGATACCCTGGGGAGCCTGGCCAGTGTTTTGTAATGATAAATGCTTAGTTCCTGAGCCAGGGCACAGGCTCACCCTATTCAAACACAGACATACCCTTATGACAGGATTTGTGAAGGAAAAGACAATGGGGAGGCTTTCCCATTTTTCTTTGACCTTGCAGAGAAAACATTTACTCAGTTTAGGAATCAAAAATGGTTTTAGGTCGGTCTTCCTGTGCTGACCCATGTACGTGCTTGGTTGGTACACTTATGAACATTTAACATGTATCTAAGACCTGAAAAGACGCGGGTGGCGCTGTGGGTAAAACCACAGTGCCTAGGACTTGCCGATCGCTTGGTCGGCGGTTCGAATCCCCGCGGCGGGGTGAGCTCCCCTCTTTCGGTCCCAGCTCCTGCCCACCTAGCAGTTCGAAAGCACCCTTAAGTGCAAGTAGATAAATAGGTACCGCTTTATAGCGGGAAGGTAAACGGCGTTCCGTGTGCTGCGCTGGTGCAGGCTTGCCAGAACAGCGATGTCACACTGGCCACGTGACCTGGAAGTGTTTGCGGACGGCGCCGGCTCCTGGCCTCTAGAGTGAGATGAGAGTCTGTCAAGACTGGCCCGTACCGGCAGGGGTACCTTTACATTTTTAAGACCTCAAAATTCCTATCACACCATCCAACCTGGGGTGTGTGTGTGAAGAGCCTGGGGTCTTCTGAGTCTGTGGGGTCCTGAATCCCTCTTAATGCCACTCCCCCCCCCCGTTTATTTGCTGCAGGGGGAAGAAGGATTTCCTGGTTTCAAGGGTGACATGGGCGTGAAAGGTGACCGGGTAAGTAGGGCAAACCCCCTCCCCACTTGCACCCACAGCCCCCTCCCCTGTTTCATGTTCCTGCCTCATTCTCTCTCTCCCCCCCCCATCAGGGCGAAGTCGGCGTCCCAGGATCCCGAGGTGAAGACGGCCCCGAAGGCCCTAAAGGCCGCACTGGGCCCCACGGCGACCCAGGTCCCATTGGACTCGTCGGAGAGAAGGTGCGGATTCCGGGTTGGGGGGTGTTGGAGATAGAACCGTAGAGTTCTGAGGGCCCTGCAGCGGTCATCTAGTCCAGCTGCAGGTGGAGGTGGACTGGTCCCCCCGTGGTTTTATAATTCATTGGGAGCTGTCCGGCAGGGAAACCCAGTCAGATAGGTGGGGTACAAATATTATTATTATTATTACTATTGCTATTATTATTATTATTTCATCTGGTTTTACTCCTTTTCGGGGTTTCAGGGCATCCTCCCTGGGGGTATAAGGTCTCCTCGCTCACTTTATTTTTTACCTCTCTCTTTCTTGCAGGGGAAACTGGGTGTTCCGGGTCTCCCTGGGTATCCCGGCCGACAAGGACCTAAGGTCAGTATTCCTCCAAATTGGGGACTTGACCTGCCTTACTGTTCAGGGAAGCTTTTAACATGTGACATTTTAGTGTATTTTTAATCTTTGTTGGAAGCCGCCCAGAGTGGCTGGGGAAACCCAGCCAGATGGGCGGGGTACAAATAATAAATTATTATTATTATTATTACTAATTCCAGTTACTTTTGCTCCTGCACACCCCCCCCAAAAAAATATATTCTCACCAGTGTGTTTCCTTCAGCAAATAATGGCCATAAATAAGTTGTGAACACGGAAAACCCCAAATAGCTGCAATATTCGACCATATTCCCCGGATTCTCTGTAAAAGCGGAGCAATCGAAGGATGACGATTTGGGGGGTCGTGGGAGCCGTTTTCTTCCCCTGCAAAGAAGGGGGGATGAAGTTTCCTTGTGCGGATCTGTACTGGCCCCCTTGTGGCATCACCGGTACCCAACACTGTGCCCCCCTAATAATGGGGGTGGAATCATCCCATCTCCTTGCAGGGAGAGACGTTGTGTCCATCCTCCTCCTGCCTCCTTCATGGCCCCTGCATTCTCTGGCCCCCCCACTCCGATTTTCATAGAATTGTAGCGATGACACCCCAGTGCCATCTAGTCCAACCCCTTGCGCTGTCCCGGCCGGTCCATTCCGAAAGCCCCCTCCTGCCTTGTCTTAACCGCCTCTTCCTCCTCTTCAGGGCTCTCAAGGCTTTCCTGGCTTCCCCGGGACGAACGGCGAAAAGGGGGACGGGTAAGTGGCCCCCTCCTCCTCAAGGACCTCCTTCTCTCCCAGCCCCCCCCCAGCAACTTCTCTTTTGGGTGGGCGGTTTCGGAAAGACGTCAAATTTGTTAAATAGTTTCGAATCGATTGCTGCTGTTCTGAATTTATTTATTTTTTAAATTTTTAAATTTTATTACATTTTATTAGATGTTACCCCCCAAAAAATGAAAAGAGGAAAAAAATACATACCCATACATAAAACCTACGCAATTTTTCCAGAATGCAGACTAGAAAAGAAGAAAGACGAAAAATAAAAGAAACAAATGAAAACGAAAACGAATGAAGAGAAAAAATGCTTTACATAATCAATGATTCCAAATTCACACTTCAAACATTATGATATATAAGTCCTAGTTGTAATATTATAAAAGACTTCCACCACTGTTCTGAATGTTATGGTGGCAGCGTCTTCCTTGGGGGGTCATGCAAATGGCTGTTCCAAATAGTGCTTTTTCTAGGGTTAGGGGAAACTGGGGGTGAGTCTATGGAACGTAGGGCCCCCCAAAAAATGGTTTTGTGAATGGATGTTGTAAAGGAAGCCCGAGTTCCGATCCTGCCAAAAGGTGTTGGAGCAGCTGGGGGGGGAAACTAAGCCCCTTTTGCAGGATGAAGCCAAACTGTGTTGATTCGTCAGAGGGAAGGTGGGGGGCTGGGGGGTTAAATGTTTGTGGGATCCTGCTGTGGATCATCTGCCTTTGTTCCTCCTTGCAGGGGATCTCTGGGAAGTTGGGACCCCGAGGCGAGAGAGGTCCCACGGTGAGTAACCAAGGAGGAAGGTGACGTGGGTCAAATCGGGTGGGGGGCAGTCTTTGCCTTCCTATTCACCACCCCCATTTCCCTCCCCACATCTTAGTGGATGCTGGCTTCCTGGTAACCCAGTTGGGGGGGAGGCGGGACCCACACATACTGTCTTTCCTGCCCATGGGAAGGGGTGCCAGGTTAGGAGCACCCCAGACCCCAAAATTCCAGGGCCCAAGCCTGAGATGTGGGGGGAGGCCCTGGTGATATCATGGGGGGCGGGGAGAGATAGTGGACCCTGGTGGTTTCTTCCTCTGTGTGCTCCCTCCTACTGGTGAGGCCTGGAGATGGAGGTTAATTGGGAGAAGGGAAGGGGGAGAGCAGGAGGGCAGACTCTCCTGAGAGTGTCTGCAATACAGTGGTACCTCGCAAGACGAACGCCTCGCAAGACGGAAAAACCCGCTAGACGAAAGGGTTTTCCGTTTTGGAGGCGCTTCGCAAAACGAATTTCCCTATGGGCTTGCTTCGCAAGACGACAGCCCATAGGGAAATCTCCGGGACAGCGGGGAAGCGCAGCGCGTCTTCCCCGCTGTCCTCGGACCTCCTCCGAAGCCTGGTGGCGGGGCGGGGACACCTCCTCCCGCCGCCGCCGGGCTTCGGAACGATGCCCCGATGCCGGGCGGGGGGGGGGAACGCCTCCGCCGCCGCCCGCCATCGGGACGATGCCCCGATCCCGGGCGGCGGGGGGGGAACGCCTCCGCCGCCGCGCGCCATCGGGACGATGCCCCGATCCCGGGCGGCGGGGGGGGGAACGCCTCCTCCGCCGCCCGCCATCGGGACGATGCCCCGATCCCGGGCGGCGGGGCAGGAACGCCTCCCCCTGCCGCCCGCCATCGGGACGATGCCCCGATCCCGGGCGGCGGGGGGGGAACGCCTCCGCCGCCGCGCGCCATCGGGACGATGCCCCGATCCCGGGCGGCGGGGGCGGGAACGCCTCCCCCCGCCGCCCGGCATCGGGACGATGCCCCGATCCCGGGCGGCGGGGGGGGACGCCTCCGCCGCCGCCCGGCATCGGGACGATGCCCTGATGCCGGGAGGCGGGGCGGGAAGCCTGGGCGCGCTGATCTCAGCGCGCGCAGGCTTCGGCATGCTGGCACCTGTCCGCAAGCAGCGGCAGCGCTGCCGCTGCTTGCGGAGAGGTCCGCGAAGCCTGGGCCGGACAGCTTTTGAAGGCAGGCGGGGGGAGCAAAGACATTCGCCCCCCGCCAGCCTTCAGAAGAGGTCCAGGACCTCTTCTGAAGGCTGGCGGGGGCGAAAGTCTTTGTCCCCCCTGCCTGCCTTCCCAGGGGCTTTTAAATCGCCCCGGACAGCGGAGAAGTCCTCCGCTGTCCCGGGTGATTTTAAAATGCCGCCCGTCAGCATTTTAAGATCGCCCCGGACAGCGGAGACGTCCTCCGCTGTCCCGGGGTTTTTTAAAATGCTGGGGGTGGGAAGAAAAGCCCTTGTCCCCCCCCCAGCCTTCAGAAGAGGTCGGGGGACAGACTGTCCCCGGACCTGGTCTGAAGTCGGTTTCCCTAGGAACGCATTAATTGATTTTCAATGCATTCCTATGGGAAACCGTGCGTCGCAAGACGAAAAACTCGCAAGACGAAGAGACTTGCGGAACGAATTAATTTCGTCTTGCGAGGCACCACTGTAATATTCAGAGATGGAGGTTAATTGGGAGGGGGGAAGGGGGAGCGGAGGAGGGCAGACTCCCCTGAGAGCATCTGCAATAATTTTCAGAGGCAGAGGTTAATTGGGAAAGCGGAGGAGGGGAGGGGAGGACCCCCCCCACACCCAAGAGGATCTGCAATACCAGCAACCCCCGTTTTAGGCACCACTGATACATGGGCGATCATGCCCTGAACCTGGAAATGACCGTAAGGAGGGCGGAACTGGATCCCCTCAGATGGGAGGGAGGCTGCGCTGAGATGAGTTGCCCCCTGGCTCTCTGGATCACTTACTTTTCTCTCTCTCTCTCTGCCCCCCGTTCTTCTAGGGGCCACGAGGCCAGCGGGGGCCACGAGGAGCCACAGGGAAGTCTGGAGCAAAGGTTGGTTTTATGGGGGTCAGGGGTTGAGACTGCTGTCTCTCTGTCTCTGGACTCAGCTATACAGCTGCAAATATAACATTTCAAGTGTGTTTTAAGTGCATTATACAAACGTGACAGTAGATGGCGATGTTGAGCTAACCGCAAGTTCAATATATATCTTAAAACGTTTTTTAGAAAAGCATTTTCACAGCGTGTTTTATATATGTTTAGATTCAGCCTCCCTTTCAAGGGGCCTCGTGGGTTCTCTCAGGGCTGGCAGGGGCGATTCTGCGTTTCTAAATAGCTTCCCTTTTGTCTCATCCTCATGCAGGGCACCTCGGGCAGCGAAGGACCAGCCGGGCCCCCCGGAGAACGGGTGAGTAGACAGGAAGGAAGACGGGGGGGGTTAAGGAAAGATGGAGGAGGAGGAGGAAGGAGCCCCCAGTGAGAATCTCAGGGAATTAAGAGAGCACTGAGGCTCGAATTTAAAAGCGCACACCATGTGAACATCCAGCAGCAGGGAGTTCCAAAGGTCACAGCTGCCTTTCCTTGGGCATCGCTGCTCTGGAATCTGGGTGGTGATGGCACATCCGGATCCAGCACAACGTTTATTCATTTTATGTATTTGTTTTGTGACGTTTATTCACTGCTTGACTGTAAACAAACAAACAGCAGCCTCCACGTGGTTTGCAAAAAAGAAAGATAGAACAACAAAATTGTCAGTGATAAAAATTAACAGCAATAATTTAGGACTTTGGGAAAGTTAAACAAGCAGATTAAAACTCACACTGCTTTCTAAGCCCCTGGGTATAAAGTTTTGAGCATGGTGAAGGCAGCTGCCTGCTATCAAGTGTCAGGGAGTTCCCAAGGGCAGGCCCTGCCCGACTAAAATTGTCAATGCTTTTGTTACATGTCGCCGGTCGCACTCTGGGTGCTGCTGCTGCTACTTAGGGGTCGGTTTCCCCTGCGTCACCGTCTGCTTAGTCTGTAGAGCATGGGACTCTTAATCTCAGGGCTGTGGGTTCGAGAGTCACGTTGGGCAAAAAAGATTCCTGCTTTAAAAATTATTCTTATATATTACATTTGTATACAACCCTATGCCCACGGGCCTCAGGGCGGTGACAACATAAAATCACAAAATCTAAAAATACATAATATAAAAAACCCAATAACACCCCCTTACAGTGGGTTTGTCTAGATGACCCTTTGGGGTCCCAATGATTTTAGGAAGCCTCCCGGTTCCTCCTCCACCAGCTGCTTCTCAATGTTTCCCTCTCCTTCTGCGTCTTCCGCAGGGTCAACCGGGACCACAAGGACCAAACGGATTCCCTGGGCCAAAAGGACCTCCGGTGAGTTCTCTGTTATCTGCTGCCCAACTCTGCCCACCCCCACCGCTCATCCCCCCTCCGGCCACCCACTGACCCTCTTGTCTTCTTTGCCCACAGGGCCCCTCGGGGAAGGACGGTCTGCCCGGACACCCTGGCCAGCGGGGAGAAGTCGTAAGTTACTCTTTGCTTATTACTCCTAGTACTCCTACTCCTACTCCTAGTACTCCTACTCCTACTCCCTCTCTCCTCCCCTGCTGGCTTCCGCTCAACACCCCATAATATTCTTGGGGAGAAGCTGGCAAACTGCAGGCTGGATGACGTTGCTACAAGGCGGATCTGTTGGCTAACCGAACTCTGAAGAGCAACATTCGTTTCCTTATGAAAGTTCAGCGGTACCTCGGTTTTCAAGCGTTTCGGAAGCCGAACATTTCGGTTTCCGTGTGCCGAAAACCTGGAAGTAATTGCTCCTGTTTTTGAACACGCCTTGGAAGTCGAATGGCTTCCGCTGTGTGATTTTCAGTTTTCACCACTGAAATTGACACTCTCCCTTTGCGCCTCGGTTGTCGAACGTTTTGGAATCTGAACGGTCTTCTGGAACGGGTTACGTTTGACAACCGAGATAACCACTGTATTCCTACCATAGAACTAAATCACAGCAGTTTGCAATTATATAAAGGTAAAAACCATTTAAAAAGTAAAAGCAAGCCAAAGAATTAAAAACAAACGCTAGCAAGCCATCGCAGAAGGACCTATTCGTAATCACCTGGTGGAATCAAAAGGTTTCCAGCAGGCGATGAAAAGCTGGTAGGTCTCCAGTGGCAGAGAGTTCCACAGGGCTGGGCCAATGACACCGAATCCTTGGATTCTCATTGTGGTCAAATGAGCCTGACCAACTTGGGGAATGACCAATGGCACTCAGGAATTGAGCTGAGTTATGAAGGTTCAGGCGATCCCTTAGGTGACCTGGAAAGATTTGCTTCCTCAGGATCCCCCAACAGTTAAGACACTCAGAGTTGAGTGACTCTGAGTGTCTCTCTTTTTTTCTTCTTTTTTTTCTTTTTTTTTCTTTTGCGCTCTGCAAAACTACTCAGGGGTTTTCACGCATTTGACGGCTGGCCCTTGGTGTGTCGAAAACCCTGCTTTCCAACAGATCCCCCGCACGCCTCCATCACATTTCATCCCACTTCTGACACCATTGTGGACACCAGGTCAGGCAGGAGGAATCCCACCCAGGGGGAAAAAAAGAGAGTTGTGTTGTAAACAAAATCTGCCCCTTTTCCCTTATGGGGTATCCCAGAGCCCATACAGAGTCCTTACGTGGGTTCCCTATTGGTAGGAGAGAATAACAGAGGCCAAAGCAGCATGTAAGCCTGATCTTTATTGATCTGTTGCAACAGGGTCCTCACTCACCACACACAGGAGGGAGGGTGAACCCAGAACAATGGCGCGCAAGGCCTTATATAGACATTTTTAATTCCCTGCGCTGGAGCTCCAGACCACCCCCCAGAAATATCATACATACATCACAGAAGTGGAGTAACCCAAGACCACCCCCCAGATACATCATACCTACCTCACAGAAAAGGCGGTCTACAGCAGAAATCTGAGTGCATTGTTTACCTCCTGTCTGGCAGGTTACTTGTTAATGCTCACTTGATTGGATACCCTGGGGAACGTGGCCAGTCTTTTGTAATGACAAATACTTAGTTCCTGGGCCAGGTCACAGGCTCACACCCTATTCATATCTCAAACATGTCCTTAAGACAGGATTTGTGAAGGAAAAGACAATGGGGAGGCTTTTCCATTTTCCTTTGACCTTGCAGAGGAAACATTTGCTCAGTTTGGGAATCAAAAATGGTTTCAGGTTGGTCTTCCTGCGCTGATCTATGTATGTGCTTGGTTGGTACATTTATTTATATATCTGAGACTTTAAAATTCTTATCACAGTTGTAACCTTCCTCCCCTTTCTTTCTCCCCCTCACAGGGATTCCAAGGCAAGACCGGACCCCCAGGAGGACCGGGGGTTGTGGGGCCTCAGGTAAGGAGATGGGGGGCCACTCTGCTCCTCCCCAGCACCAGCAGAGCAGCCAAAACACCAGACCCTGGGAGGGGGTAGTCAGAAGATGGCAAGGGCGGGGCGTGTTCTGTTTTAATCACCTGTATTTTAACAGATTTTGGTTTTTTATAGTATTTTAGTTCTGTTTAGAGTTTGATGACTTTAAAAACAATTATATTTAATGCCTTTCTAGTTTAGTTTGATGTCTTAATTGGTTGGAAGCCACTCAAAGGGGCAACCCAGTCAGATGGACAGAATATTATTAATATTAATATTATCTTATCTGTGCAAGCTGCACTGAGTCCTGGTTTGGGGAAAAGTCAGGATATGAATACAGCAGCAGCAGCAAATTATGAATAAATAAATCACTATAATAATAATAATAAATTTTATTTATACCCTGCCCTCCCCAGCCAAGACCGGGCTCAGGGTGGCTAACACCAGATATAAAAACAATTGATTGAAATACAACTTAAAAACAAGATTAAAATACAACATTAAAACATTAAAATGCAGCCTCATTTCAGTGGAAACTCAAATAAAAAACTTTTTTGGGGATGAAAACGTCAAGTCTTCACCAAGGCCAGCTATCCAGACTGGTCCTAGGTGGGCCAGAAAAAAGCCAGGGAAGTCCCAAAATAGGAGTTCCGACACAGAAGGAGAAAGGAAAAAAGAAGAGGGAGGGGGGGAATCAACTAATATAAATAATAATTAAATCTGCAGGGTGGGGAAGGGGTTGCTTGTGGAGGGCTCTCTCCTTGCTCAGGGGATTCGATCCTTGGAGGTTTTTAAGCAGAGCTTGGCTGTCTGTCTGTCATGGACACTTCGGCTGAGATTCCTGCGTTGCTGCGGGTTGGTCTAGATGAGTCTTGGGGTTCCCTCCATACCCTACGACTCTCTGATTCCTTGGCAGGGCCCCGCAGGAGAAACAGGCCAGATGGGGGAGAGGGCCACCCTGGCCCACCCGGACCTCCTGGAGAGCAAGGCCTGCCTGGACCATCTGGGAAAGAAGGCACAAAGGTAAGTCCTTTAACGGGGGCGGGGAGCGGGGTCTGGGTGCGAGGGCAAGGGGGGCGGTTGTTGGAGGGGGGTCATGGGCAGCCCAGCAGGGGGAGGCAGGGGGTGGGGTTACAGGAAAAATCTAGGCGCGAGGCTGCTCAGTCACCCAGCTCATCGAACAGAGCCCACGGGTCCCTGCGGAATAATAATAATAATAATAATATTAATTATTAAAATGCAGCCTCATTTCAGTAGGAACTCAAATCAAAGACTTTTGGGGGAATGAAAACGTCAAGTCTTCACCAAGGCCAGCTATCCAGACTGGTCCTACATGGGCCAGAAAAAATGCCAGGAATAAAGGAAGGAGTCCACCCACCAAAGTTTATTGCGCAACAGGTTCAAAGAGGAATTTTGAACCCCGAGGATGGGGTGACAAAGACTTTTAAAACTTTCCCACCATATCCCATAATACAGTTCGTACAGCATCATCGATACATTATTGCTACATCACTGACATGTCGCAAAAGGGGAGGGGTAGACAGGGGTTAAAGGGACGTGGGTGGCACTGCGGGTTACTAGGACTTGCCGATCAGAAGGTCGGCGGTTCGAATCCCCACGACGGGGTGAGCTCCCGTTGCTCGGTCCCAGCTCCTGCCAACCTAGCAGTTCGAAAGCACGTCAAAGTGCAAGTAGATAAATAGGTACTGCTCCGGCGGGAAGGTAAATGACATTTCCGTGCGCTGCTCTGATTCACCAGAAGCGGCTTAGTCATGCTGGCCATATGACCCGGAAACTGTGCGCCGGCTCCCTCGGCCAATAAAGCGAGATGAGCGCCACAACCCCAGAGTCGTCTGCGAGTGGACCTACGGGTCAGGGGTCCCTTTACCTTTTAGACAGGGGTTACACTAGTTCAACCTTGGCAAACCTGTCCAGACAAGTCCTTGGTACAAGATTAGCATAAGCAGACATGGCAGGGCAAGACCCAGGTATAAGATTAGCACAGGCAAACACCTCTGAAGTCCCACCACCCAAAGTACAATAGAACTTCCTTTGCATGTCTGGACCACTTGGCAAGTCTGGTGGTGGGATTAGCTGGTGGTGGGATCAGCTCAGCAATTGTCACCTCTGGGGACTTCCTGGGGTAGGAGGTGTGTATACATGTCCTCTCACTTGGGAAAAGAGTCGTTCTTCCAAGGGCAAAATAGCTTTGGAATGGAGGAAACTGGCAAAGGAGTTGATTTTATAGGATTGTTAAAGCTAGGTAACTTCCCTGCACTGTCAAGTCGAAAGGATGCATTTATGCATAATACTTGTAACATTTAACAACTTTAAAGATGTGCCCCCCCCGTAATTTCCGTAACAGGGGTGTGGCCTATTGGCAGGCGCCAAAGCTCTCTAAGGGACCCCTCAGTGTTGCCGCTACCTTTCCTGGGGACCCCTGGGGTGAAAACATCCAAAGTGGAACCCCTTTTCGGGGTGCCTTTTTGGGGTTCCAAGCACTGCACTAGTTAGGCTCAAAAGCAGAGGGAGGAAGCTCAAACTGAGCTTTCAAAGGTCAAGAAAACTTTCCTGGAAATCCCCTTCACCCTCTAAGCCCCTCCCCTGGTATCACAGGCTCCGCCCCTTAGCACCCAGGCCCCCCAGTGCACCCCAGAATTCTGAACCTCGGGATACCTGCCACCCTTCCCCCTTCGAGGATCCTGCCATGATAGATTCAGGCCCCCCAGCCCAAGAAGAGGGGGACTGGGGTTTGGGGGGCTCCGGCCAGGATTTGGGGGGTCAACGTGTCCTTTGCCCCCTTCTGCGTTTCAGGGTGACCCCGGCACCCCTGGAGGACCCGGCAAGGATGGCCCGGCTGGGCTGCGAGGCTTCCCCGGAGAGCGCGGCCTGCCTGGAACTGCCGTACGTACTTGGGGTGGGGGGGCTCCTTCCATGGGGTTGGCCTGGGAAACGTAGCCTGTTTGCTCATTCTCCTGGCTTGCTCACTCATGAGCCAGGTGCAGGGGGGGCACGGCGTTTTGCGGGGCAACCCTCCTGCCTGCTCTGAGGGCTGAGATTAAACTGCCAGGAGCTAAATGTATGTAGAAAATACTCAAATCCTGCGCTGCAGGGTGTAGCCAGGATTTCTGGGTTTTTTTGGGGGGGGGTAAGAATCTCACTTAGTTAAGGATTTTTATTGATTTTGGGGAGCAGCTGCCCCTCTCTGCCCCCTCTTGGCTACACTCACGGTGCAACAATATAAATCTAGTCAGTAAGAGCATAACAAATTAAAAGTTAAAAAACAAACTTGGGGTTTTTTTTGGGGGGGGGTTCCTCTTCATTTGCCTGCGTGCGCCAGGCAGAATAGAAAGAATTTCAGCAGGTCTGTGAAAGTTGGCACGGAAAGGGCCCCCTGATTCTCCAGTGGCAGAGAGTTCCGCAGGTTAAGCACTGTCTGTTGGAGGAGATGCCAGGAGACAGGGACTTCTGTTCACATGTGGTGGGGGTGTAAATATGTACAAGTTTTTTTTGGCAAAGGGTGTTTAAGGAGATGACTGAAATCACGGGGTTAAAGCTGACCAAAAGTCCAGAGGTAGCATCATTATCAATTTACAATGGGACGGAAGGTTTGCAGGCTAGGAATTTATTGACAGCTGCACGAATTATTATAGCCAGGAGTGGAAGGGGCAAGGTGAATATAAAATGGAAGAGTGGTATAAAGAGGTGTGGGATCTAGCTATTAACTATAAATTAACATGCCATTAAGGTAAAGATGGGGAATATGCAGGAGGAATGCTTTTGAGGAGATACGGAAGGTGTTTGCAGAATTTGTACTGTTAAAACGGAAAGGCGTCAAACCATCGCAGGAGGTGTTGAAATTTTGGGAGGCTGGATAGTTACAATGGAGTGGTTATATATATATATGGGGAGCACTGTCTGAGTGGCCAGAGAAGGGGCTTCTTTGTCTTGGGGTGTGCCCCTCCTTTTTAAATCTTGTAGGGAGCAAACGACTCTTTTGCTTGAACAGCCCCACTGGGTACCCGTTTGTTCCGGATGCAACAATGACTTAGGGCCAGGCTGTCTGAAAAACCGTATTCCCTCTTATAAGGCCGCCCAGGTTTTGAGATTCTTTTGGGGAGGGGCTTTTCTTGGTCCTACCACCCTCCCAGGAACACTTGGGCAGGACAGGGCCTTCTTGGTGGTGGCTCCTCCCAAGCAACTTTGGAACTCCCTGCCTGGGGAACCCAGACTGGCTCCTGCCTTGTTCTTCTGCTGGCACCTGAAGGCTGTTTTATTCCTACACTTAAGGTGTGTTATTTTAGGGGGGCCCCCGAAGCTTAAGTTTTGCAAATTTCTTCAATGAGGGGTCTTAAAAATATGTTTTGGGGTGTGAGGCATTCAAATCTGCTATTATTTTTGTGACTGGGGAACATTAGATGAAGAAGCCCATAAACTGCTTTCAGAAAACCAAAGAACTTAAATTTTATCTTCTGAAAAATGTCAGGTGATGCTAAATAATTATTATTTATATTATGTATTAGTGAATACAAATATTAATATATAATATAATTGCAAATGCCTGTCAATAATTTTTAATGATTTCTATGCAATTTTACACACATTTTGCTTACCAAGCAAAACTGAGTCATATTATCTTCACCAAAATACCTTTTGAATTCCCAAGTTATTTTGCAACTTTTTAGCACCCCTCATTTTTTGAATGTGAGCATTGAAAAATTCACCACAGGCCTCTGGGAACTGGCTGGGTTTGTTTTCTGCTGTTTTTTTTAGGAAAGTGTATTTAAACAGTGCTGTGCTGTTTGTTTTTTTTAGCAGGTTTGCTTTAATTCTATTAGAGTTTAATTAAACAATTACCTTTTGTATGCTTTTAGCTTTTTGTATTTTACCTGCCTTGAGTCCCAAAAAGAATTATTTTGTTTTATTTGGTTTATGATTATTGCCATTATTCATTAAATTGCTTATACCCTTTTTAGATTCTTTTAGCTTCTTTACTGGAAAAGAGAATATATGGTTGCATCTTGGGGTTGCGGTTCATAGCAAAAAAAGGCAAACTAAAACCCCACATTGCCCTCTTCAGCAGCGACTTCAGAACAGAGGGACTCCCTGCCACTTGAGCTGCACCTCCCGCGCCGCCTTGGCCCTGCTGCCAGTGCTGATTCTTCATTTGCTCACCTGGCTGTTTATATTTTACTTAGCTGTGATTCCTGCTTCACAAAGGGGGGGGCGGGTTGGACTAGATGAACGCTAGGGTCCCTTCCAACTGTGCCATTCTCTTATTCTGCCTTATTGGTGAGGTTGCGTAGCCCTTAGAAGTCTCTGCAGCACTTCAAATAAATAAAAGGGGACAGAAGGAGGACTGGACAAGGGGTGGGTGTTTTGTGCTTGTGTGTCTACTTGTCGGCCTGCCTCAAACTCTTCCCTCCAACCCTGCAGGGCGGGCCTGGACTGAAAGGCAACGAAGGACCCGCTGGACCCCCAGGACCCGCCGTGAGTGTTTCCTTCCCCCCCCGGCCCTGACGCACCGACCCAAGGCACACCCTGCAGCCACAACGCTGCCCTTCTCCTTGGCACCTCCTGACCTGACGATGGAGCTCTGCACATGCCCAAGAGACCACATTCACACCCGCATCTAGGAAGAAGTTCAGTTCATCCCCAGTTTCTCATCCCTGCCCACCCCAGTCTTCCATTCAGCTCTCCACATTTTGCAGCAATTTGTGTGCTTTTTTTAAAAAAGCACAAAAGGTTATCATCAGAAGAATTTTTATCGCCAGCCATTTTTTTCCAGCCTACAGAAGAGCATCTGCAATTAAAATATAGAATAAATAAGCCCACTGAAATTTCAATAGTGGAGAGTCAACGCAGGAGGGGAGGGGAATTGCTGTCTAAATGGGTCTGTCGTCGTGTCCATGTTGGAGCTCGCGTTTGGCGAGAGCCTGCGTCAGCTTTGAGCATCCCACTGTGCTGGGGTAGTGCATTGTGACTCCAGCAGAGGGTGCTCTGGGTACGAGCCCCTTTTCTCCTGCACTCAGCATCCCTTCAGGATCAGGCCTAAGCACCCTCTTTTCATCTTGCCTTCCAGGGATCCCCAGGGGAAAGGGGGGGCCCAGGGCCAGGTGGCCCCATCGGACCCCCAGGAAGACCAGGCCCTCAAGGACCCGCTGGCTCGGCTGGGGAGAAAGGCGTGCCTGTGAGTAGGGGGACAGGGGCAGGACTTATGGGTCTTCTTGGGAGGAAGGGAGGGTAGAGAAAAGGCAAGCAGAGCGGGGAGAGGGGCAGATGGTGGGGTACGGCAGAGGGGGGGCAAGTTTTTCTGGAGGGAGGGGGAATGTAATAAGGACCCCTCAACACTCCCCGGATTCAAGGGTCATGTTGATTAGAATCCTAGAATTGTAGACTTGGAAGGAACCACGAGGGGTCATCCAGCCCAACTCCCTTCAAGGCAAGAATTTGGTGGAAGAGACGCAGATGCTGCAAGTGGCGCTTGGGGTCAAGAACTCTGGGGCGCCCCTGGGAAAGGGGGGTGGGCAGTTGAGATTCCGCGGTGAGTCTCGGGGGCCCCCCTCCTCACTTTCTCTTTTCTCCCCAGGGCGAGAAAGGTCCCATTGGCCCCGCAGGCCGCGATGGCGTCCAGGGCCCCGTCGGGCTGCCTGGCCCCGCAGGACCTCCGGGGGGCCCAGGTGAGGATGGCGACAAGGTAAGAGTCTGGAGCGCGTCTCCCCTGCCCATTGCCCCGGCCTCTGGGCTGCGCCTCCCCGGCTCACTCTCTCGTTCTCTCTCTCCGCAGGGTGAAGTGGGCGATCCTGGCCAGAAGGGCGGCAAAGGAGCGAAAGGGGAGCATGTATGTTGGGGTCATCTTGAGACCTGCGGGGCAGGGCCACGAAATGCGTTGGGTGGGGCTCTTCCTCCCCTGCCTCTCCATCCATGCCATTCGCCTCTTTCTCTTCCTCCCTGCAGGGGCCACCGGGACCCCCTGGCCCACTGGGTCCTCTCGGGCAACCAGGAGCCGCAGTAAGTCCTCAAGTTCATTTTACCACCTTGTGTCTGGTGTCATTCAGGAATTTTAAGAATCCCCCCCCAAATCAGCACAGTTATGAAATGTTCCATATTGCTTCACTATAGCGGCCAGTTTTATCTGATCACAGGGTTGCCTCCAGCTAAATCTCCAAACTTTTGGGGGCAGCCACACAAGTTCAATAAGCTTCCCACCATACCCTGTCAAAAGCATTTTTCAGAAGAGCGGTTTGCGCGACCTGCTAAGGAAGAAGCAAGACGAAATTTGAAACCATCATGAAGAATTGGGTATCTTTCAGAAGAAAAGGAAACTGGTTTAGTTGAGAGTGATTTAGTTGTGATTCCTGCATTGTGTGGAGGGGGGAGGGGGTTTCCAGTTTGGGTGACCCTTGGGTGCCCTTTCTGTGATTCTTGTCTTTCACCCTTCAGGGCGCAGACGGAGAGCCTGGAGCGAGGGGCCCCCAAGGCCACTTTGGAGCAAAGGGGGATGAGGGAACCCGAGGGTTTAATGGCCCCCCAGGGCCCATCGGCCTGCAGGTACGCCCAGGGACACCCTGAACGGAGGGTCACACCTCTCCTCCTCCCCCGTCCAACCCTCCAACTTGCACCCAGCCCCCTGGGTGGCCTTAGACCAGTCACTCTCTCCCCACCTAACCTACTTCACAGGGCTGTTGTGGGGGTGAAACGGGGGGGGGGAATCATGTACTACCCCACCTCAAGCTCTGCAGAGGAATGAAGGCGGGAGAGAGATGTCATGATAAATAACCACAATTCATCTTGCCTTTTGACAGGGTCTGCCTGGACCATCTGGGGAAAAGGGGGAGACAGGCGACGTGGGGCCCATGGTAAGTTCTGCCCCCCTGCCCCTTTTCTCTCTCTCTCTGTTCCAAGGCACCCCAATGCTGTTTTTTCTCTATATTTTTATTTCTATTTTAAAATATATACATTTCACTGATTTTACAATCATTTTGACATTTTAAAACTTGGTTTCCTTCCCCCTCTTCCTGCAGTTCCTTAAATTTATTTTTAATATCTTCTGCATGTCCAAATTCATTTAAATTTACTAATTTATTTATCTTATTTAAATATATACTCTTATGTAAGTGCAGGTTATTACAATTAACCCTGCCAGTGTTCTTATCTGTCTACAATTTATCTGTAAATATTCAATAAACCATTTCCGCTCTTTTATAAAAAGTTTGTTATCTTGATTTCTTATTCTTCTGGTAAGTTTCACCATTTCTTCATATTCCATAAGTTTTTGTATCCATTCTTTGTTTGCTGGGACTTCTTCTTCTTCTTTCAATTTCTGGGCAAGTAACATTCTTGCTGCTGTAGTTGCATACATAAATAAGTTTCTCTACAATTTAGGTAGTTCTGTCCCTATACAGGCGCCCCTAATGGTGGTGTTTTGGGGATCCTGTTTCTAACTGCATTGCAGGTTTCCCATTGGGGTACTTGGTTGGCTCTTTGGCAACTAACCCAGCTGCCAGGCCCTTCTCATCTTCCTGTGGAACCTCCAGGCCCAGCAGCAGTCTATCTCGACTCCTAGGTTCTTTGGAGCATTTGAACACTGTGAGGACAGGAAGGGGGCCTTGTTGTTTCCTCTTGGGCCTGACCCAGCTGATTTTGAGCTCTTCGGCTCTTTTTACATACATATCTGCCAGACAGCTGGTTTGCTGCCTTGACCAGGCGTGGCTGACTTGTGGCCTGCAGGCCAGAGCTGCCCCATGGGAAGTGGCTTCCCAGCTGCTACAGCTTTACCCCCTGATCATATTTTCTTGGATTTTGGCTTATCTGCTGGCTGCCTGGCAACGCTCTGGGCACCTTCCAACTCTCCCTCTCCTTGAGAGCTAACAGTGTCTTCCCTGGGAAGGAGGGGGGCCGGGCTGTCCTTTCCAGACTCTGACAGCCAGCTCTCATCTGCAGAGTCGGCCCCTTGCTTGCTTAGCTCAACTTCTGGGGCCGACTCTTCTGCTGTGCTCAGGGGGGCCACGTTCCTGCAGGCCAGTGCTGCCCCATGGGAAGTGGCTTCCCAGCCACTACAGCTTTACCCCCTGATCAGATGCAGACATAAAAGATCCTTCTGCCTGCTCTTGACCGATGCCCATGGCCATCTGTCAGGGATGCTTGAGATTCCTGCCTTGTGGGCTGGACTAGATGACCCTCGGGGTCCCTTTATCATTGCTGCGGTTCTATGATCTTAGTGTGAAGACCAGAAGGGTGAGATTGGTGACTAAGCCCTCTGCCTGCTCTTGAAGAGGTGAAACTGTGTGTCGTCCTTTGAGTTTGGGAGCCTAAGAATGGGGGGGGGGCATCTTTTTCTGAATATTATGGAAATGAAAGCAACGGGGGTCTCTTGCTCCCCTCCCTTTAGTGCCTGTCAAAAGCAGTGTGTTTGCTAAGAGCAGCACATTGGTCCTTGAGTCAGACTTGAGCATCGATGACCCACAGAGCGGGGCTCAGGTGCTAATAATGAATACACTTCTCCATGCAGGGACCCCCCGGACCCCCCGGACCACGTGGCCCAGCCGGACCCTCTGGAGCAAATGTGAGTGTGTTTCTCCTTCCACCCCCCCCCACAACTGCTACACCACCACTGCCCATTAACTGATATTCAGCATGGACTTCTAGTCTAACAGTTTGGGGTCTCTTTTTCCTTCCCACACAGGGTCCCCAAGGCCCGCCAGGCGGCGTAGGAAACCTTGGCCCCCCAGGACAGAAGGTGAGTGGCTGGGAGACAGGACTCCTGGGTCCTCTGGGGAGCCTAGTTGGGAGTGGGGTCCTGGGAGCCAGTATCCCTGTGTGTTCTGAAAAGCGAATCTGGTTTCCCTGGAGCAAGAAGGGAATGAGGAGGAAGCAGCTGGAGGGAATGACTCCTGGTTTCAGTTGTCTCTATACTAATGCACAGGGCATGGGAAATGAACAAGATGAACATCCAACTGTACGATCCTATGATGCAATGAGTAGGGTCTCTGTGTGTGTTTGGAGATCTAGGGATGAGTGGGTATTGATCTCCTCTAACTGGTTCTTGGTTCTCTGGATGGCAGATGAGCTGTGAGTCTCTCAAACGGATTCCCCCCCCCTTAGGGATCTCGCTCCCCAGATATTCATGATCCCTTCCAAATCCCCCCAATTGCCCCCACTAACTAATGAAAGCTCTCTTGAGCCTATTATATTATATTCACTGTTCCCAAGTCTATTTACAATGGGGGGCGTGTCCTGGAGAGAACCTCAGGGGCCAGGTTGAGAGGTCTGGATGGGCCTGAGATTCAGAATGAGTAAAAATACACACACTGGCTTGGAGTAAATGAAGAATGGAGGATGGGAAGAGCTTTGGATAGGACCAGACCCACACCTACACTGCCCTAAATATCCTTCTGTCGTTTCAGGGTGAAGCAGGAGAGCCGGGAGGTCCTGGTGTCCCTGGAGAACCTGGTGGCAAGGTAAGAGGCCCCCTCCCCCCTCCCCTGCCCCATCCACCACCTCTGCCACCACCATTGCAACACCTGTCCTGCCCAGCACCCCTGATGGGATTGATTGACAGGAGTGAAACCCGCATCCTGGTGAGGGACAGGGGAGAAGAATTTGATTCTTTCCCCATTTGAGGGCAAACCACCTCAACTCCCCAAAACCATACAGGGACCAAAGCGCAGAAGAAGCACCCTTTGAAATGTTGCGTTGCAACAAGGTGCCCCAGCTAACTCATCTACACGAGGGGGCAAAGATCAGTGCAAAACAACAGAAAAAAATGGGCAATATTGGGAGGGGGGGAATTGTCCATTAACATCTTAGAGACCAACTAAGTATGTTCTGGGTAAAAGCTTTCGTGTGCCTGCACACTTCTTCGGATACCATCTTCTTCAGATACCAGCTGTGCATGCACATGAAAGCTTATACCCAGAACATTCTTAGTTGGTCTCTAAGGGGCTACTTAAAGGGTGGCGCTGTGGGTTAAACCACAGAGCCTAGGACTTGCCAATCAGAAGGAAGGTAAACGGCGTTTCCGTGCGCTGCTCTGGTTCGCCAGAAGCGGCTTAGTCATGCTGGCCACATGACCCGGAAGCTGCACGCCGGCTCCCTTGGCCAATAAAGCGAGATGAGCGCCGCAACCCCAGAGTCGGCCACAACTGGACCTAATGGTCAGGGGTCCCTTTACCTTTACATTTAAGGGGCTACTGGACAATTTTTTTACTTATTTCAACTGCATCAGACCAACATGGCTACCTACCTGAATGGGCAATATTGTTATCAATTCATTTAATTTTGTGTCCTGCCCTTCCTTGCTTTGTGCCAGAGGAAGTCGCTTTACCAAAATTTGTGGGTTAGGCACAAACGGCGTGCAAAAATCCCCGTGGGGGGATAAATTTGTACTAAAATATTGATGGGAAGGACTTTGGGAAAAAAAATGTGGGGAAACGTGGGGAAGCAGGCTAAAGATCGGAGAAACGGGAAAACCAGAACTTGTACATTTGCCAGTCCCTGATCCAGGTTCACCGTACAGAACTTTAATATCGGACATTTTCCCTCCTGGCCCCTAAAATCCTTCATGGCCCTCCATAGACGCTTCCTTCCCACAGATGCAAACGACCCACTGCCTAACCTCAGTGTGACCACCTTTTCTCTCTGCCCCCCCTCAAGACCCAAATTTAAGGGCTTGGTTGCTGGACCAGGCAAAAAAATCCTTCTGGTGTCTCCTGCAGTGGCCAATCCAGCCCCCCCTGCCCTCCCCAGAGTCCCCCTCCCCCTACACAGCCCCTGGCATTTGGAGGGTAGACTGCCCCTGGAGCAGGAAGCCCAACTGAGCTGTTTTGCCTGACTGCCATTCCTCTCCCTTCAGGGCCCAAGGGGAGAACGAGGAGAGAAAGGCGAGGCTGGAGCTGCTGGCGTGGCCGGGCCCCCTGGCGGGAAGGGCCCCCCCGGAGACGATGGCCCCAAAGGAAACCCCGTAAGTGGTACTGCAGAGAGAGAGTGGGGCAAGTCCGCCTTGCAGCGGGTTGGGCTAGATGACCCTCAGGCTCCCTTCCGACTCTGCAATTCTGTGATTCTCTGTTTCTATCTCCACTTGATTTCATTCCATTCTTGGGGGGAAGTTCCTTAAAATTGGAAAGGGGGCTGTCATTGAATGGGATGGAAAAGGTAAAACGAAGCCATGTGTCTGTTGGGAAGGAACAGCTGGGCAACCGGGAGCGAGGGCTTAATCTCTTTTTTTAAATATATCTTTATTAATTTAAAATAAATACATTTATGAGGAAACAGATGTACATACAAGTAAACAAACATACAATCCAACAAAAAACAACAGAAAAATCAAACAAACCACCACACTATAAAATACAAGAAGGTTAATATAATTATCATCCTATATACTCCTGATACTGAACACAATTATAAAACTTACAGAGAAGAAATTTAAAACTGACTTCCAATTAATCTCACTGTACTTTATCTATCCATTACAGTTACATATTTCTTATATAATTTCTTTTTACCTCCCTACAAACTTATATTTATACAATACAGGGGTCAGTCTAATTCTGCCAAGACGTTTCCTTTTATTCCATAGTTTTCCAAAGATTCTTTAAAGATTCCCTCAATCCTTTTGGTTTTTTTTGTTTTGATTGGCCTAATCTCTATCTCTCACTTTTTTAGGGTCCAGTTGGTTTCCCTGGAGATCCGGGACCCCCTGGCGAAATGGGACCTCGGGTGAGTCATGGGACCCCTTTCCCTAGGAGCCCCCACAGAAGGGCCAGGATCTGACCCGGGGGCTGACCGTGACTTTGTTCCCCTCCTTCCAACAGGGCCAAGACGGAGCCAAAGGCGACCGGGGAGAAGACGGAGAGCCGGGAGAGGCGGTAAGCGCTCTAGGTCTGGCCGGAAAGAGGTTCCGGGTCATCTTCTGCTGGGTTTGGTTCCAGACATGATGCCTCCTGCGAGTCCACCCTCTTCTTTCCCCAACGGCGAAGGGTCTCCACCACCTTCTTGGCTTCCCAAGACATCCTTCTGCCAGAGTCGCCTTCCCCTTCTTTGTCTTCTTCCCAATTCCACTCCTCCTCGTCCAGCGTGACCCCCTTCCCTTTCTCCCCCTTCCAGGGCTCTCCGGGACCCACTGGTGAGAACGGACCCCCCGGCCCGCTTGGCAAGAGGGTGAGTGGAGAGGGAGGGGCCTGGTTGACCCACGAGCCCAACCTCAAGAGGGTCCAGGCCCTTGGGCATCGGGGCCCAGAGAGAGAGGGGCCCCTGTGCCTGGGGGCCGGCTTGGCATCTCTCTGAGCCCAGTGCCTCCCCATCTCTCTCCACAGGGTCCAGCCGGCACCCCAGGCCCCGAAGGACGCCAAGGGGAGAAAGGCGCCAAGGTGAGTTACCTGGTTGCCAGGTAAATGGAAGCGGGAGAGGCAGGTGGCTTGGCCACCCTAAAGAAGAAACTATGGGATAACAGAGGGGTACCCAAGAGCCCATATAGAGTCTTTACGTAGGTTCCCTATTGGTAGGAGAAAATGACAGAGGCCAAGCAGAGAATACTGAGAAGCAAAGCAGCTAGTAAGCCTGATCTTTATTGAGCTGTTGCAACAGGGTGCTCCCCTCACACGCAGGAAAGGAGGAGGACCCAGAGCAAAGCTGTGCCTGCCCTTATATAGACATTTTAAATTCCCTGCCCTGGAGCTCAAGACCACCCCTCCATACTTCATACATACATCACAGAAAGGGAGGTCTACAGCAGAAATCTGAGTGCGTTGTTTACCTCCTGTCGTTGTTTATCTCCTGTCTGGCAGGTTACCTGTTAATGCTTACTTGATTGGATACCCTGGGGAGCCTGGCCAGTCTTTTGTAATGACAAATACTTAGTTCCTGAGCCAGGTCACAGCCTCACACCCTATTCATATCTTAAACGTGTCCTTAAGACAGGATTTATGAAGGAAAAGACAATGGGGAGATTTTTCCATTTTCCTTGCAGAGAAAACATTTGGTCAGTTTGGGAATCAAAAATGGTTTCAGGTCGGTCTTCCTGTGCTGATCTATATACGTGCTTGGTTGGTACATTTATGAACATTAATTATATATCTAAGACCTTAAAATGTGTGTTGGGGACTTACAGCTTTCTGTTTTCCATGTGCTCCTTTAATATTTGAATTTATTTGCCCTGCACTCTAAGGTCCCAGGGCAGGGGTTAGAACAATTGAAATATATTTTTACTGCTCATTCATGTGTTTTTTAAAAAAGAGATTTAGTTGTGATTCCTGCATTGCATGACCCCTGGGCTTCTCCTCCAACTCTGCATTTCCATGATTCTTAACCTCCCTCCCTCCAGGCTAATCCTACTCCCAAAACTCCTTCAAGGACTTGAATTTCCGCAGCCCACTCCTCATCCTGGTCGCTCTCCTTTGCCACTCTGCAGGGCAGCACAACCCCAGTGCACGTCTACTCAGGAGTAAGCCCCGGAGAGGCCCATGCAGAAGTAATTGCTAGGTGGCAGAATTGTGGCCTGAGGCTGTTCCTCCGCTTCCTCCTGCCCCAGAGGGATTTGTAGTTGGTTTAGGATTGGTCTCCCAGCGGCAATTAAAAAAAGGAAACAAAAACCCTGAGCTGTAATTTCAAAAGATTACGGGGCGATGGCTGCAAACCGCTTGAGGCTGCGAAAGAACAGAAATAAAATCCCCTGCCGAAATGAAGTTGGAGCCCTCCCTTGCTTAGGACACCTTGATTACATATTTCATGGAAATGCAGGCTATAGATTCTCGAAAGGGATAAACAGCGAAAGAGGGCTTGGAAACTGGGTGCTCTGTTTTTTTGAAACAGAACAACGAAGTTCTGGGATCTTTATCTACCTGTTAGGACAGCAACGCACCAGCTCACACACCTGACGCCATCGCTAAACAGCTGTGGGAGACGGAGGTGTTTTGCTCTTCCCAGAAAGCAGAACTCAAAAGCCCCACAAGGACCAGTTAGCTGTGATTGCACGGGGTTGGGATAGATGACTCTTGGGGTTCCCTTCCAGCCCTACAATTCCGGATCTTCCCTCCCAGGAGACAAAAATGTTTTTGTATATGTTGGAAGCTGCCCAGAGTGGCTGGGGTAAAATTATTATCATCATCATCATCATCATCTCAATGTGCAAGAGTGGCCTTTGTTTACAAATCTGACAATCTGTTTCCAAGAAAACGAGTTGCTTCAGGGACTTCGGTGCAGTTTCTGAAAAAACAATTATCATTTGGTTTTACGAATTTGTTCACATTCAAAATCACAAATAATAGCAAATTACACAAGATTCTTCCGAATCTCTGGACTTCCCTCCACGGGTTCTTTAATTAACCTTTCCAACGGCATATTGTAAATCAGTCTAATTTGCCAGTTGCCCAAAGTCCATGTAACATTGCAAGAGTTATTTAAGACCTGCTATAGAGTCCAAATGCTTACAGTGGTCTTTCACGTATAATATTAATTTCCCCCATTCTTCGTTGAAGTTTTGATCCTCCTAGTTTCTGATTTCCCCGGTCATTTTTGCCATCTCTGCATAGTCCAACAGCTTGGTCCGCCATTCCACGCTGGTGGGGACTGACTTGGGTGCAGTTTCAACAGGCTGGGACAGACCCCTTCCCACCATAATTTTGATTATTTTTATATGAACACAGCCTGGGGAGTTTGTGGCTTTTTTTTAAAAAAAAGATTTATTAAAGTTTCAAACAGTAAAACAGACTTCACAATACACAGTGAAAAAAGAGAAAAAAACACCACTCAAAAATCAGAAAGAAAAACACAGTGAAAAACCCAGCAGAAAAAAAGCAAAAGAAAAAGTACATGAAAAGACATAAAAAAGAAAAAACCAGTTTCTCAGATGTTGTTTTCATAATCTTCTTTCCAGACTCCCTCACATCTCCCTTTTCTGCGTTCCCCTTTTACAAAATCTTGTTCAGCAATTCCTCACCTTTTAAAAAAAATCTTATTTCACATTATACATTTTCACTATTATGTCTCCAATTTTTCCCCATTTTTCATTTTGTTTAAGTTTGACATAATGTTGTTCTAACTTCACCTCTGTTCTGGTAACCATTTTTACATTCAACTGTATCACTAATACCACATTGTCTTTATAACCCGCAACATTCTAACATTCATACAGTTTGCAATACTTTTGAAGATAGTCTTTAAATTTCTTCCAGTCCTCTTCCACCAGCTCTTCTCCCAGGTCTCGGATTCTGCCAGTCATCTCTGCCAGTTCCATATAGTCTATCATTTGCATCTGCCATTCTTCCAGGGTGGGTAGATCTTGAGTCTTCCAGTGCTTTGCAATAAGTATTCTTGCTGCTGTTACTGCATACATGAAAAGATTCCTATCCTTCTTTAACACCGTTTGGCCAACAATGCCCAAAAGGAAGGCCTCTGGTTTCTTAGGAAAGGTATTTTTAAATACCCTTTTCAATTCATTATATATCATTTCCCAGAAACTCTTAACCCTGGGGCATGTCCACCAAAGGTGAAAGAATGTTCCCTCAGTTTCTTTACATTTCCAAAACTTATTGTCTGGCAAGTGGTATATTTTTGCAAGCTTGACTGGGGTCATGTACCACCTATATATCATTTTCATAATATTTTCTTTCAAGGCATTACATGCCGTGAACCTTACTCCGGTGGTCCATAACCGTTCCCGGTCAGCAAACATAATATTATAACCAATGTCTTGAGCCCACTTTATCATAGCTGATTTAACCGTTTCATCCTGAGTGTTCCATTTTAACAGCAAGTTATACATTCTTGATAGTACCTTAGTTTTAGGTTCTAACAATTCTGTTTCTACTTTCGATTTTTCCACCTGGAAACCTGTTTTTTTGTCCTCATTAAAAACCTCCCTAATCTGACGATAATGTAGCCAGTCTCGCACTTTATCTTTTAGTTTCTCAAAACTCTGCAATCTCCAAGTGTCTACATCATTTTCTAATATCTCCCAATATTTTGGCCATTTGGCCTCCATATTGAGTCTTTTCTGAGCCTTAGCTTCCATTGGTGACAACCACCTTGGGGTCTTGTTTTCCAATAAATCTTTATATCTTATCCAGACATTAAACACTGCTTTCCTGACAATATGGTTCTTAAATGCTTTAGGAGCTTTAAGGGAGTTTGTGGCTTTGGAGGGAAGGGGTGTGTGTGTGTGTGTGTGTGTGTGTGTGTGCCTAATTTTCTCCCTGCTGCCTTTCCCCTATGCAAATCCCAACCCCACCTCACCCAAAATCCCCGGCTGGGGAAACACAGCCAGATGGGTGGAGTGTCAATAATAAATTATTATTTTTATTTCACTGTTGGGGCTCCTGCAGAACTGGCAGCCCCAAAACTTCACCCAGCCCTTTATTCCCTTTCCCACTTGCAATAAAGTAGGACACCTCACCCATCCACATTTTAATTCAAGGCCTGTTGGTTGAGGTGGTTTTTCTCTTTTTTATCGGTAAAGGTTTTCATTTCCTTTTATACGTCATATAAGAACAGGTGAAAATCAATAGATGGAAAATCTGAACTGTGAAATCGGGGGTTGGACTAGAGGACCCTCAGGTCCCTTCCGATGGCACAATTCTATGATTCTTTGATACTGCTGTTCAGTGAATGTATTATTTAGTTGTGAACTACTCTATTTACTTACTTACTTACTTACTTACTTACTTACTTACTTACTTACAGTTAATAATAATAATTGGTATGCCGCCCTTCCTCCACAGATCTAAAGGCTGTTTACAACATAAAAATGCAATACAAAAACCACATAATACAGAATAAATCCCACTTGCTGGTTTTCCATTTGGAGGACCTGTTCAGCCGCTGTAAGAATGGGCTGCCAGCCTGTGTAAATGAATGAAATTTATTATTACGGTCACAAACCAGTTCCGGTTCACTTACAATATCAGGAAAATCATAAAACACAACAGGAATGCATTGTATTGCAATTGGGTACAACAGGGACAATACAATTATATATATATATTAAATCTTGATCACTAAAATATAACCTAAAATTGTCATTTCAAACCTTAATCATTTTGGTAGTACAGCTTGTTCTCTAAGTTTTATGGCAGTCGCACAGAATTTGGCCCCCCTGAGCGTGATCTCTAGGTCCTTGTCCTCTACCAGGAGTTTTAGACACTGAAGTTCGGACCCATTTGGAGATTTTGGTATAATAGGAGTGATAAATACCGAGCGTATATCCCCGCAGAAACGGCAGCGTGAAATAGCAAGAAGGAAAGCAACTGGGTTGTGCGTCTGGGCAGATGCCAAAATATTCCGAGACAAAAGTGAGGGGGTGGGGATTGGCCGCTTTGTGGACTTGTCGAGTCAGAAGGGACCCCCAGGGTCATCCAGCCCAACCCCCTGTGACCTGCTTCCCCTTCCCTCTCTAGGGAGAGCCAGGAGCGCTGGGAGCCCCAGGGAAGACGGGGCCCGTGGGCCCTCAGGGACCCCCAGGGAAACCAGGGACGGACGGACTGAGGGGCCTCCCCGGATCAGTGGTAAGGAGACCAACCCGGACGCCTGGGTTCTCTGGGAGGGGCCGGGTGCGCATGTGTGTGTCCGCTGAAGTCGGACTCAGTTGGGGGCCCCTCGTGTGGCACCGGGGGAGCCTCAAAGACCCCCACCAGTGGGGCAGGGTTGGTGTCTTGTGGTCCTCCAACCAAGTCCTGTTGCAGGATCCTGAAGAGTTTGTGGGGGGCGTATGGGGTGTCAGGGGAGGGGTGGCACCTCTGGTGGGGACATGTCTTCTCCTTCTGGGGTGGTTTGTCCACCTTTGGCCTCCACCTTGCACTCCGGGGAGTTGTCAGCCTGGGGCAGGGGTCCCGATCCCAGGAAACGCAGAAGGCCGTGGAGGAAGGAAAACTACATGGCGGCAGGTTGCGAGGAGGTTTTTGCTCCTCAGGAAAGCCGACCTGAGAATCATCTCGTTTTTGTTTTTAATAATGCTGTATTGTATTTTAATATTCGGTTGGAAGCCGCCCAGAGTGGCTGGAGAAACCCAGCCAGATGGGCGGGGTATAAATAATAAATTATTATTATTATTATTATTATTATTATTATTATTATTATTATGGAGGTGCCAAAATTATGGCTGAAGGTGGTCCCTGTAGAGACTGTTACAGCCAATGCTTAGTCTACGGGGTATTTTTATGTTCAGTAGATAATCCACTGGTTTTTGGATCGATTCTAATTTTCCTGAAATAAAGCGAAGACCAGAATGGAAGGTGGTTGAAATCTCTACGCTTCACATGGTTGCTTCTGAATGCTATAAATAAAGTATGTTCAGTCAGGATAAAAAATGGAAGGCACAGTGGACGCTCGGGTTGTGAATGTGATCTGTGTGGGATGCACGTTTGCAACCCGCAGCGGCACGTCTCCGCATGCACGGGTTGCGACTCAGTGCTTCTGTGCATGTGCAAAGAGCGATTTAGCGCTTCTGCGCATGCGCGACCACCGAAACCCAGAAGTAATCTGTTCTGGTACCCAGCTGCAGCGGCCGTTGTGATTCTCCAGCAGTTGAAGAAGATGGGTTGGGGGGTGCATTGGAGCAGGGAGGGGAGGGGCCTGATGGGCGGGGCCAGAGCAAAAGTGGGCGGAGCACTGGGCGCTTTGAAGGGCGGGGCTGCGTGAGGCCCCCGAGGGCCACCTAGAGAGGCTGGGAAGGGCTGCCTTTGGGCACTGAATTTCCCACCCCGACTGAACACTTTTGCCCCCCTCCCTGTCTTTTCCAGGGGGCACAGGGCAAGCCAGGAGCGACCGGCCAGGCTGGGCCCCCGGGACCAGTGGTGAGTGTCTGGGGTCTTCTCCAAGGCCGGGGGGGGGGAATGGTGGGTGGTGTGACAGCCTATGGGAGAGAGCTAAGGGTCCCAACCATTGGGCCTCTTGCAGGGGGTTGAGCTGGATGACCTTTGGGTTCTTTTCTGACTCTACTATTCTGCGGTTCTTCCTGCAGGGCCCCCCTGGCTTGCCTGGGCTGAGAGGCGACTCTGGACCCAAAGGAGAGAAGGTAAGGCGAGGGTTCCCTCCGCAGATAGGGGGCAGTTGCTTCTCTGTTTGCCCCCAAGATCTGCATGCCACATCATCACTTTGGTCTCTTAAGTGGTGAAACGTCAAACTCAGCCAATAGAAAAGGGACTGTTGGTCAGGGAGACCTCTGGCTAGGAAGCTTCCCCTCCGTGTTCGATGGGCAAAAATGGACAAATGCAGGCCCAATTTAATCTGCGGGAAAATGACTGTAGCTTGAGATGGGTGCTTTCCAGCTTTCTCTTGGGGGAGTGAAATTGACTAGACCACAAGTGGCTTGGGATCTGGAAAGTAACTAGATCGCAGGTCGGTTGCAAACTGGAAACGGATGAAGTCATAAATCGCTTGCAATCCGGAAACTGACTACACCATAATTTGACTGCGAACGGGAAATTAACTAGACCATAGGTTGCTTGGGATAACCATAAGTTGCCTGTGATAACCATAAGTTGCGGAAATTGGCTGGACCGTAAGTCGCTTGGGATCCTCAAAAACTGACCAGGCTGCAGGTTGCATGCTATCTGGAAATGAACTAGACCGTAAGTGACTTGAGATCTAGAAATTGACTAGACCGTAAGGGACTTGGGATCTAGAGATTGACTAGATAGTAAGTGACTTGAGATCTAGAGATTGACTAGACCCTCAGTGACTTGGGATCTAGAGATTGACTAGACCCTCAGTGACTTGGGATCTAGAGATTGACTAGACCCTCAGTGGTTTGTGAAGTGGTCCAGTCCATTCCCCGCCCCCGCCTGCCCTGGTGCCCCTCCAGTAAATGCCTCCTCTCCCCGCAGGGACACCCCGGTCTCATCGGCCTGATCGGACCCCCAGGAGAGCAAGGGGAGAAGGGAGACCGAGGCCTGCCTGGCCCACAAGGCACCGCAGGCCAGAAAGGAGAAACGGTGAGTGTTTGGGGGCAGAGATGTGGGGCGGGCAGGATCCAAATAAAACCAGAACAAAGAACGGAGGACCCCAACCCCTGAGCCAACAGGGAAACGCCAACAGGAAACACAGGATAAAGGAGAATTTGTGGCCAGGCCTCCATTCTGGGGAGATTCTGTCACTGGGATTTCTGCTCTGCGGGGGTTGGACTAGATGACCCTCGGAGGTCCCTTCCAACTCGAGGACTACACAGAGAAACAACCCTTCGTCCTACGAGATGTGGGCACCCACCCGAGTCTTCCTCCGAACACACTTTTGCACCACCGCTTGTTTCTTTTCGCTGTTTCATTTAATTTATTTTTTAATTCTGTATCCTTAGGGTGAGTGAAGGGTGGGCAGTGGATAAACGAACAGGGATAAAAATGCAGATAATTTGTCGTTGTTACCTGTTTGCGGGTTTTGTTGCCTTTAAAGGTTTCTCAACAAATAAACAAGACCAAAATCTTCTAGTGAAGTCGATTCTGATTGCTGCAAAGAGGGAGAGAAGTGAAGGGTGGGGGAGGGGACATTGGGGGGGTGAGAAGCCGGGGGGGGGGTCTTCTGTGATTATAGCATGGGGAGAAGGTTGCAGGGACCAGCGGGGGGCCAGCTAGGACTCCTGGGTCCCCCGAGATGGCATGGCCTTGTCCGACTGACCCTTTCTCTCTCCGTTTTGCCCCCACAGGGAATCCCTGGTCCAACCGGCCCCCTCGGACCCGCAGGCCCCCCTGGTCTCCCCGTAAGTGAGCCCCCCCTTGCCCTCCACCCCCCCCTCCTGTGTGGCACCTTCTAACACCTTTTTAAAAAATCATGCTTTTCAGATTTATACATTTCACAAATTTTTCAACCATTCTGACGTTTCAAAACTTGACTTCCTTCCCCCTCTTTCTGCGGCTCCTTAAATTTATTTCTAATACCTTCTGCCTATCCAAATTAACCGAATTTGCTCATTTATTCGTCTACTTTAAATATATAACCCTTATAGAACTGCAGGTTATGACAAGAATCCTGCCAATAGTTTTATCTGTAAATATTCAATAAAACCATTTCCACTCTTTCATAAAAAAGTTTATTATCTTTGTTTCTTATTATTGCGGTAAGTTTCGCCACTTCCGCATATTCTGTAAGTTTTTGTACATATTCTTCCTTTGCTGAGACTTTTTTCCGTTTTGAGGGCAAGTAACATATCTAATTGATTTTTGACTTTTATTGTTAATCATGTTTTTATATTGTATTTTATGCTGCTTTTATAATTAAGTATTTTAAAGTGTTTTAAATTTGTTGTTAGCCGCCCTGAACTCGGTTTTTGAACCAGGAAGGGCGGGGTATAAATAAAAATTTATTATTATTGATATTATTGCCACAGTAGTCGTGTACATGAATAAGTTTCTATACGGTTTGGGTAGTTCTGTCCCTATAATTCCCAAAAGGAAAGCTTCTGGTATTTTTTACAAAGGTTATTTTGAATATCCTTTTCGTTTCATTATATATCATTTCCTCCTCCCTTCCTCAGGGTCCAGGCGGCCCCCCAGGTCCTAAAGGAGCCACGGTAAGAGCCTCCCCACACATTGAGCCCCCCACCCGCTTGGGGGGAGAGGCGGGGCGAGGGCTTGCCCCTCTTTCCCTCGCGTGCCACTGACATCGCCAACTTCCTTTTCTAGGGTCAAGCGGGACCCAAAGGTCAGCGGGGAGTCCCTGGTCCCCCTGGACGGCCGGTAAGAAAACCCCACACATTCCCCGCTTCCTCCCCATACCCCAAGGTCTGCTCCTCCAGCTGGGAAGGCGAAACCCTCCTGACTTGAATGGCCTAGGAAACTGTGTTGTTCTTGTTGTTTTTAAAAAATTATATTCATGGTAAATATTCAGTCGGTAGCTCTCGAGACTCTTCATCCCAGAGCTGTGGGTTCGAGTCCCACGTTGGGCAGAAGATGGGTTGGACTAGATGACCCTGGGGGTCCCTTCCAAACCTGTGATTCTGTGGTAATAATAAGAGCAGTGGACATGCTGGATTGGGTTCTGGTAACTGGGATTTCCCCACTCAGCCACCCTTCCTCAGGGCAGCCAAAAGGAAGCCGCTTTCCAGAGTTAAATTGTGGAACTCCTTGCCACCAGGGAAGTTTTTAATGTGTGACATTTTAATGTATTTTTAATCTTTGTTGGAAGCCGCCCAGAATGGCTGGGGAAACCCAGCCAGATGGGCGGGGTACAAAATAAATTATTATTAGTTATTACTGAGTGTGGGAAATGTTCAGGAATGCAGGAGAGGATATATTGTCGGACCTTTCCAACTTTTGTTTACAGGTCACAAATTTTTAGCAGAGTAACGTTCCCTTTTTAAACTCACAGCGGATGCAATTGCTCAGGTCGCTAAAGCCTCTATATAACTGTTCTGGTAAAGGTAAGGAGACCCTGGCATAGTCAGTCGTGGCTGACTCTGGTTCGCTCATCTGCTTTATGTCAGGAGCCGCGTACAGCTTCCGTCATTGGCCAGCAGGACTAAGCGCTCTGGAACCAGAGCAGCGCACGGAAATGCCGTTACTTCCGCAGTGGTACCTGCTATCACTTGTCCTTGATGCAAACTTCTAGATTGGCAAGGAGCAGGACCAGAGCAATATGGAGCTCACCCTTTCGGGGGGCATTTGCTCCAGGCCTCGCTAAAGCCTCTATAATAACTGTTCTGGTATTTCCCCCTTATTCCCTCATAAAGAGAAGACACGACACAGTCTTCTATAAAAGTATAAAAGGTTTACTCACACATCATTCTGTTCACAATAGGATCCCAGAAGGCAGACTTAGCCTTAGAAAAGTAACCAAAATAAACTATCTCATAAGGAGGCAGTCCCTTTGTCCTGTCTTGGCTGGAGCCCAAGGAGCATCTTTGGCTAAGCATATGTTGCTTCTTCGACGAAAGTAGTCACAGAGAGATGGCTGCCCTGCCCTGTGCTTTTGTCGTTACCTGCACAGGTGAGGCCATGCCCACCTCTAGTCACATGCAGAGGAAGTCTGTCCCAGCCCAGAAGGAAACAGGAACTTTACCTGCTGGCTGGACAAACATTCCTCCCCATGTGTAAACATGTCCACTCTAGGAATGTTGTACTTGACTGCTCTTGTGTTTCACATCCCACACTGAGAGGACTGGGCAAGTTCACGGCCGTGCTCTTGACTCGAAGGGGAACGTGGCCTGAATGGCGGCTGCCAGAAACCGCAGGAAGGGAGAGAGGGCTCTCGAGCTCAAAATCTGACGGGTGGGTGGGTTCTGTGGTTCTCACGTTCTCCTGCCCTCCTGGCCAGGGACCCCCCGGAGAGGTGATCCAGCCGCTGCCCATCCAGAGGCCCAAGAAGAACAAGCGTTCGGTGGACGGCAGCCAGCTGGTGGCCGAGGAGCAGCCGCCGTCGGACGGGGCAGGCCAGGCGCCCTCGGAGGGCATGGAGGAGATCTACGGTTCCCTCAATTCCCTCCGGCAGGAGATTGAGCAGATGAGGAAGCCCCTGGGCACCCAGGAAAGCCCCGGGCGAACCTGCCAGGACCTGCTGCTCTGCCACCCGGACCTTCCTGATGGTGGGTTGGGGGGCTCAGAGTCCCATGGAAGACAGGAGTAATAATAATAATAATAATAATAATAATAATAATAATAATAATAGTAATTTTATTCTTTACACCCGGCCCATCTGGCTGGGTCAGGGTGGTGGTTGTCCAGCTGCACTTGAGTTCTTCCATGAGCTCCCAGCAAGCGCAAGCGATGATGGGAGTTGTAGTCCAATGTCTGCAGGTGGGCAAGGCCATTGCAAGGAGTCACAGAAGCCGCTGGGTGAGGCTTCCCGGCCCATCCTGCCCGAGCCACCAAAACGGCAGGTGGGAGGTGCGATTCCTGCCTCGCAAGGAGGCAGGACAAAGAGCCTTGGGTAACTCGCATAAGTGAGCCCAGCTGCATCCTTTGGGATGAAAGCAGCCCAGGATTCCTAGCCTGCTTTGTTGATGCAAGGCGGGCGCAATGATAGAAAAGGGGACTTCCTGGAGGCAAAGATGATGAGAAAACCCCAGCAGGGATTTAAAATCTCAAAATGTGCAGCGGTTCAGTGTGGAAATACAGGCCCTTCCAAGTTCCTTTCAAAGTTCCCCTCTTCCCTAAGCGTAGAAAGAGACCATAAATTGGGCAACCTAAAAATTGGTTTACTTACAAACTCTCCAAAGGTCAGGTTCATGTGATTTTCCGTGCAGCATTCAGAAAAAGTTGCGCAGCTGTGAGGAATCCTTTGCTTTAATGGAACCTCCAGACCCAGAGGTAGTCTATCTCGATTCCTTGTTCTTTAGCCACTGTCAGAATTAGATGGGGGTCCCCTATGGCCTGACCCAACTGCTGCTGCTGCAAGCTTTTCTGATGTTCCTTTCTCCTTTTCTTCCCCCCCACCTCCAGGCGAATACTGGATCGACCCCAACCAGGGCTGCTCACGAGATTCCTTCAAGGTCTACTGTAATTTCACGGCCGGCGGAGAGACCTGCGTCTTCCCCAGCCAGGAGATTCGAGAGGTAAGAGAAATGGGATTAGTTCTGCCGGGGGGACGGATGGACTCAATGACCTCTGGGGCTCCCTTCCCATTCTGTGATTCTTTGAATCTCTGCCCTCCAAATGTTGATTTGATTGATGCTCAACTGGACCGACTGCGATGTTCACGTGACGGAAAGCCTATTCTGAAATGATGGCTGCTGCCATTCTTATTCTTTATAAATAAAGATTGCATTCCGGTATATTTGCCTCTCTTTCTCCTTTTCCCAGGTGAAAATGTCGACGTGGGAGAAAGAGAAACCTCAAACCTGGTTCAGCCAATTCCAGAAAGGCAGGAAGGTGAGAGAATTGTGATCCAGGGGGTTATTTACATGCTGTATAGTGACCCCAACAGTGTCTCTGGGGCTCTGCAGACCGAAAGGAGGAAGAAGGAGGAGGAGGAGGAGGAGGAGGAGGAGGAGGAGGAGGAGGAGGAGGAGGAGGAGAAGAAGAAGAAGAAGAAGAAGAAGAAGAAGAAGAAGAAGAAGAAGAAGAAGAAGAAGGAGAAGGAAAAAAAGGATTTAGTTACACTACTTCTAGATTTCAAAAGGAAGTCATAGAAGGGAAAGTGAAGTTGCTGGAGGGTGCATTTAGTATTCTGCTAGAATGGGAAACAAAAGATGAGGAGGTGAAATCAGTCATGATAAAACGGGCACAAGATATAGGTCATATTATTTGAAGACCATATGTGGTGGGAATGTAAAGAAATTAAAACATTTTGGGAAATGATATATAATGAGTTGAAGAAAATGTTTAAACTAACATTTGTAAAAAAAAACCCAGAAGCATTCTTGTTAGGGGGTGTAGGAAAAGACCTGCCAAGGAAATTAAAGAACATATTTATGTATGCGACAACGGCGGCCACAGTCTTAATAGCACAAGGATGGAACGAGGAAATCCCAACAAAAGAACAGTGGCAAGGGAAATTGATGGACTCTGCGGAACTGGCGAAACTGACATACAAACTGTGAGACAAGAACTGTGGCTTTAAAGAAGAATGGGAACTTTTTGCAAATTACTTAAAAACAACAACAAAATGAATTGGACTCCTTGGCTGGTTTTGAATAAACATACACAAATTAATACACATACACAAATTGTTATTAATAGTAATAGTAATAGTAATAATAGTAATAGTAATAATAATAGTAATAATAATAATAAATACCCCGCCAATCTGATTGGGCTGCCCCAGCCGCTCTGGGCCAGCTTCCAACATAGTATAAAAACACGACTATGCATTCTTCACAGAATGCACAGTTCACCTGTGGAACTCCCCGCCACAGGAGGCAAGGATGCTTTGAAGGAGACAAATGCAGGGAAGAGACGGCTGCCCGTGGCCCCTGGTCGCAATGGCTCTGCTCTTCCTCCACAGTGGAGTATGTTGCAGCAGTCTATCCCTGACTCCTTTTCTCCCCCTCGCCAGTTCTCCTACTCGGACGCCGACGGCAACCCCCTGGGCATCGTGCAGCTCACCTTCCTGCGCCTCCTGAGCGTCTCGGCCCGGCAGAACTTCACCTACCACTGCCAGCGTTCAGCCGCCTGGCACAGCCGCGGGGAGCCGGCCCCCGGGGGCTACCAGCGCGCCCTCCGCTTCCAGGGCGCCAACGAGGACGAGCTGAGCTACGACAGCAGCCCCTACGTCAAGGCCCTGCGGGACGGCTGCGCGGTGAGTCCTCCCAGCAGGGGTGGCGTTGGGCGAGAGCCAGGTTCCTTGGGTGGGGGGGCACCTGGGGGCCATGCTGTGAGGACAGGAGGCCGGGTCAGACGGGCCCCTTTGGGCAGCTGATCCGGGAGGGCCCTTTGTACGCCTCGGTGGAGCCTCCAGGGGCAGGGGCAGTCTATTCAGATTCCTTGGGGGCATTTGACCACTGTGAGAAGGGGATGGTGGTCTAGGTGGGCCATTGGCCTGATCCAGTAGTCCTTGTGACAGAGTGGGCTGGTGGGGGGTCACTTTACGGGAATTTGAGGGGAATTTGAAGCTTTCACAGAGCTGAATTGAGCCTTTACTGCGCATTTTTGCGGGGAGTCTATCTGACAGCAGGGATTTCCAAACCACAAAAAGTCCAGCTCCCCTTTTTTTTTGAGTCATTTGTCATGGATGCTGTAGTAGTAATTCCGGTCATGGCACAGGGTTGAGCTGGATGACCCCCGGGACCCATCCAACTCTGTGATTCTAAAGCAGGTTTTTGGGTTGCTTTTTTTTTAAAAAAAATTATTTCTATGCCGCTTTGTATTCAAATAAATCCCTAAGCAGCTTACAAGCAAAAAACAAAAATGACATAATGGAACGTCACAGATACAGCATAAATCGTATAGAATATTTAACAAATCATCAGTAAAGCAATCACATACAAAACAATGACTGCTCTGCTAGATCAGTGGTTCCCCAACTTTTCTGGGGGGCCCTGCCCCCCTGGTTCAATTAACTTACACTCCACCCAAAACAACACACCGTATTTTTTGCTCCATAAGACGCACCTGACCATAAGGCGCACCTAGTTTTTAGAAGGGGAATGCAAGAAAAAAATTTTTTTATAGGGAGCGCTGAGCAGAGCCTGTATGCATCCCAGGCTCTGCTCAGTGCTCCCTTTCACGAGCCGTGAGGAGCGTGTGTGCGGCGCTTGCAGGCTTTTCCCCAGGAGGGCACACATGCTCCACGCGGCTTGTGAAAGGGAGTGCAGCTCTTGGGGGCTTTTCCAGGAGGTGGGGGAAGGGACTGAGGGGCTGCCTTCTGTCCCTTCCCCCACCTCCCACAAAAGGCAGCAAGAGCCGCACGCTCTTTAAAGGGTGCGCGGCTCCTGCGGGCTTTTCTACGAGGAAGGAGAAGGGACTGACGCGGCCAGTCAGTCCCTTCTGCCTCCTTGGGGAAAAGCCCGCAAGAGCCGCACGGAGCTTGGAGGCTTTTCCCGCCTGCATTCGCTCCATAAGACGCACACACATTTCCCCTTACTTTTCAGGAGGGGAAAAGTGCGTCTTATGGCGCGAAAAGTACGGTAATTCAGAAAAGCAGTTTGCATGACCCTCTAAGATAATAACGCAACAAAATTCAAAGCAGTAGCAATAATTTGTACATTTGTTCAAAACTCAATTAAAACTACTTAGTTTAACTATGTAAAGAAAATGGATGGATTTGATCTTGGTCAAAGACTTTGCCAGTAGAAAAAGGAGGGTCCCCCCCTTTCAAATATAAATGAAGTGGAAGTAGACAATAAGACTGTAGGTTTCGTTTCGTTACCCAAAATATAATTTTTTGTTACAGTTTACCATTGTTTATATTTTGAATTGAATATATATGGGAGCCAAAATCTTTTAGGTGTGTAGGGCCTCTAAATGTCTTTGTCTGAACGCCAGAGGAAAAGTTTTTCTCGCACTCGGATCCCGCTCGCGGGTTTCCCACCACGTTGGCCAGGTTTGCCCTCACGTTCTCACGTCGTCTCCTTTCCCTCACAGACACGGAAAGGATCGGACAAGACCGTCATGGAGGTCCACACCCCCCAGGTGGAGCAGCTGCCTTTGACGGACGTTCGCGTGGCGGACTTTGGGGAGCCCGGCCAGAGGTTTGGGTTCGAGGTGGGGCCGGTCTGCTTCCGAGGCTAAGGCGGCGGGAACACCCTGCGCACTTCACTGAGCCCACCCCCCCGACCCCGTTTGCCCTTGGTCTCCGGGGGAACCCCCCACCCCACAAGCAGTGACGGAACAGGATCCGGCCTCTCTCCACGCCCCCCTTCAAGACACAGTGGATCCATCCGCCAACCAATGGGAGACCGAGGAGCATCGGGGGTCCGGGGCACCAATGCAGACCAAAGAGAAGTGGACCGTTTGGGACAAGCCAGATTATATTTTATCGCCATTCCTCCTCCCCACCTCTCCTCCACAAGTAGCGGGTCACAAAGCGAAGCCCCCTCCCCAAACATACAGGGACCCCTCCCCACTGTAGCTCTTTTCCCGCTGAACCCACTACTCTAACCCCACCCCATGCCTTGATCTCGTGGCTGTCTGTCTCCCCCCCCCCAAAAAAGCACTAAAGCATCCCTTTCCCTATTCCTTCAGGGGTCCTTGGGGTGGAAGCGATTGGGGTGGGGGGGGGTATATTCAACAATAATCTGCAGAATTTTCCAGTTGTAACTCCCCAGTCCCAAATCCGGTTGTTGCATTTCCTCCCCGTGACCCTTGCCCACCCCATAACAGGGACCCTTTGCCCCCACCCCTAATGGCCACTCCCACCCTCTGCTGGCCCTTGCACCCATTTTAAGACCTCACCCACCACCCATCCCAGCTCCCCAACAGGTGAGTGTTTTTTTGCAAAAGGGAAGCCACAAGCCTTTTCCGGGCTCTCTAGGGCAATCCCCTCACCCCCTAACAGACAGCACCAATTAAGCCCCACATTTACAGGAGGAAATGGGGGGGGCAGATACTACAGGAACCTGCCTGTGGGCTGGAAAGGGGCAGCTGGAGTGAACAACTTTGCTTGTCTCTATCCTAATGCACAGAGCATGGGAACCAAGCTAGATGAACCCAAGCTCCCATTACAAGGTGGCAAATGCCGATTGAATAGGCACTGCTGAAACCAGAAGGGCTAAATGACGCTGGGTGGGGGCAAACTTGGTACAAAAGCCCCCCCCCAGTTCAGAGACCAAGAGCAGAGAGGGGTCCTCTGGCTTCCCAATGGCCGCCTCTCCCCCAAACCCTGGTCATCTCCACACTAGCCACCTCAACAATTGCCCCAAACATATCTTAGCTTTGTTTTTTTAATGATTCTAAAACTAGACACTGCCCCTGGGAAAAGGATCCCCCCTTTTGCACAAATTAGTGTCCCGCCAGGAATTCAGTCCCCTCCCTCCCCCTTCCTAACTTTCAAGCCCCTCCCCCGTGTTCTGCATGCTTCTAAGAAGCGTCTTCTGCCTCCCCAACTTCCCTTCGCCCCCAGAGCAGCTCCAAAGACCAGAAAGGAAAACTGTGTGTTTTGTTTTTTGTTTTTTTTATAAAGAGAAAAAATAAATAAATTAATTATATTATTTAAAGGAGTGGATATAAGAAAAAGAGACTATTTTCATCTCCTGCTGCCTTTTATTTTTACGGAAGATGGAAAAAGGCGAGTTTCACACCCAGTTTTTGGTGCTCGGGAAGTTTAAAAAAATAAATTTATTTTCTCTCGGCCGCCTGCAAAGTTCTTTCCCCCCCCACCCCTTCTCTCTTGAAAGGGGGTTCCCCCCCCCTACACAAAAGCTCCTCCTTGGCTTTTTTGTTTTCTTAAAAAGCAAGCGAGGGGCCGCCCCCTGGTGCTGGAAGCAGGCGACCCAACCGTGTAATGTTTTGTAATTAATTGTGGAAATTGTATGGTGCCTAATAGATCATCTATAATTTTGCTGCTTTCTTTGCCTCCGTTATTATTTCCTCGCCTTTGCCTGTCCGTTGGAGTTTCGCTTTCGTACGCCCCAGTGTGCAAATAAGAGGGTCAACTAAAGCCTTCTGCAGGGGGTTCGAGGGAGGCGACCCCCCCAGGGGTCTCTGTGGGGCAGGGGAGGGGGGCCTTGATTCCTAACGCTCCACAACAACCAGCCTCCGGATCCAGCGAACCGGTGGGCAAGCAAGGAAGATGAAGGCTGGGAGATTCGGGACAGGTAAAAAGGACTTAGGCACTGTTAACCTGCGGAAGCTCTTGTCACAAGGCAAAGTGACCAACTTGGATGGCGAAGAGTCCCAGCAGAGGCAACAAATGCTTCCGAATATCGGCTGCTGGAAACCACAGCAGGGGGAGAGGGGTCTTGTGTTCGAATCCTGATCGCTGGCTTCCCACGCTAGGAATTTATTTTATCACACAATCTCAGGGCAGATGGCAGGGGTCTGGTTGGCCACTGTGAGAGCAGGAGTGGCACAAAACAAATACCGTGAAAATCCCTGAAACGAGAAGTAATCGACTAGAAACATTATTTCTTGTGGAAATAAACTAAATAATACAAATCAAAAAGATCAGTCTTTAACATCAGCAGTAACATCTAGACCACGGGAGCCTTTCAGCCCTGTTCTTGAGTTTGTTTAAAATCTAAAACAGCTCCTCTTGTATTCCTTTCTTTGACTTTGTGCCATTTAGGTTTTTAATCTTTTTGTAAAAGCAGCACTAGAATTTTCACACTTGAGTCCCCTTTATGACTGGGCTTTGCTTTCTTCAAGCTGGGCTTTGTTTAAAACTTGCCATTTGGGTTTTCAAACCCCTTTTTTTGTAAATTCAGTATTAGAAACTGTACTTTTCAGTCCTTAATCCTTTATTACTGCATTTTGCTTTACTTCGGTCGAGCTAGGATTATAACACTTCAGAATTTTTGGGGTTTCTACCCCTTTTTTTGAATTTTGGTCATTTAAAGATTGTGATTTTTCTATTTCCTTCTGAGGAAACTGAATAGTTCGGTGAAACGAGGTTTGTAACTGGCATCCCATTAAGGCTTTGTTCAATTCTTAGGTTTTTCTAAGTTTTTCCTTAATCTTTTTGATTTTTATTATTTAGTTTATTTCCACAAGCTAATATCTAGTCGATTACTTCTTGTTTCAGGGATTTTCACGGTATTTCATTTGTTTTGTGGAATTTCTCGGTTCCGTGACTGTCTTTTTTCTATTGGTTACAGCACAAGGGACACGGGTGTCACTGTGGGTTAAACCACAGAGCCTAGGGCTTGCCGATCAGAAGGTCGGCGATTCGAATCCCCATGACGGGGTGAGCTCCCGTTGCTCGGTCCCTGCTCCTGCCAACCTAGCAGTTCAAAAGCACGTCAAAGTGCAAGTAGATAAATAGGTCCCGCTCCGGCGGGAAGGTAAACGGCTTTTCTGTGTGCTGCTCTGGTTCGCCAGAAGCGGCTTAGTCCTGCTGGCCACATGACCCGGAAGCTGTATGCCGGCTCCCTCGGCCAATAAAGCGAGATGAGCGCCGCAACCCCAGAGTCGGCCACGACTGGACCTAATGGTCAGGGGTCCCTTTACCTTTACCTTACTGTGAGAGCAGGAGGCTGAACTGCATGGGCCTGATCCAGCAGCCTATCGTGTCCTCATCCTCCTCACACAAACATGCCTCCCCTCTCTCGGGGTTGGGCTAGATGACCCCTGACCCCCTTGCAGCGCTGTGACTCTCTTGCGCAGAAATAAACTTCCCTGCTCCCTTTTTCCCCTCTGGGCAATGAGGCGAATGATCGCAGGCGTGAGTCGCTAGAGAATTTATTTCCACTGTACAAAGCAAGACGAAGGGACAAACGGGAGACGCGGTCCAGAACAGGGCTGCCCCCCACCCCGTGGAGATCACGGAGGGGGTGGGAAGCAGTGATATGGCCGTCCCTCCCCCCAAAAAAACACACAACCCGCCATGCACAAACCCCACCGCCCCCCCAGCTCAGAAGTTGGGCTTGTGCTTCTTGACTTCAACCATCAGGTGATGGATGTTGATGAGTTCAGAGCGGACGGGGAGGGCTTTGAGGGGGGGCAGCGCCATGACCTTGTGGAAGCGGTGGTAATACTGGATCAGCTGCGTCAGGGCCCCCTGTGGGGAGAGAGAGGGGGGGTCAGGGGGTGAGATAAGAGACACGGGGTGGGGAGAAGGTCACAGGCACCCCACCCCCAGAGAACACACAAGGGCACAGCCGAGAGCCCCCCACCAGCAAGGAATAAACACCCTGTGCTAAGCACTGCAATGGGGGGTTGGGCTGGATGACCTTTGGGGGTCCCTTGCGATTCTATAAGCAGGAAGCAGCTGGGGGTTTTTTGGGGGGGTGCAAGAACCATTTGAAATTGGGTGGGGAGTGAGCTTGGGGGATTTTAAAGATGATTTCTGGGATCTGCAACTGGGGGACCTCAGCCAAAACCTGCCCTGTTCCCTTGGGGGGGGGGCGGATTTAGGGGGAAACCTGGATGCTGCAATAATACACACAATAATAATAAATTTTAATTATACCCCGCCCTCCCCCCCAGCCTAGACCGGGCTCAGAGTGGCTAACACCCGATATAAAAACAAATGGATTGAAACTTAAAAACAAGATTAAAATACAACATTAAAACACAGCCTCATTTCAACGGAAACTCAAATCAAACACTGTTTTTGGGATGGAAGCGTCAAGTCAAACAAGGCTCTGTACACCCTCCCTAGCCTTCCTGAAGTTCCACAAGCCAAGGGGTTGCCCTCTTTCTTTTCAATGGGGGGGGTTGTGGACACCCCCTCCCCGCCCCACAGCACCCATTAACCCTTCCGTGCCCATGGGCCCCACCTGGATGATGGTGGTGCCGTTCTTGAAGTTGGTGAAGGAGCGCATCACGTCCTGGCTGAGAGACTCCACCGCCGCCTTCCAGGTCCCCGCGAAGCCGCGCACCAGCTGCGTCACCTGGGCTGAGAGGGGAAGGGGGGAGATTTGGGTGGGGGGCATTGAAGAGGGACTTTCCTCCTCCGGGAGGTTTTTTAAGAAGAGGTCAGGCGGACACCAACTCCTGCATTGCACAGGGGAGGCGGGGTTGGGCTGGATGACCTTCGGGGAACCCGCTTCCGTCCCTACAACTCGTCAGTAGCAAATGAGACTCTCAGCCTCAGGGCCGTGGGCAGTGTGAATTTGATCGAAATTAGGGGTCAGCAAACTTTTTCAGCAGGGGGCCGGTCCACTGTCCCTCAGACCTTGTGCGGGGCCAGACTAAATTTTTTTTGGGGGGGAGGAATGAACCAATTCCTATGCCTCACAAATAACCCAGAGATGCATTTTAAATAAAAGGACACATTCTACTCATGTAAAAACACACCGATTTCTGGAACGTCTGCGGGCCGGATTCAGAAGGCGATTGGGCCGGCCCCGGCCCCCAGGTCTTAGTTTGCCTACCCATGATCTAAATCAAATCAATTTAAATCACTAGACTTGATTTAAATCTTTTTTTTTTTTTTTTAACAGAAAGACTCATTCTTGCTGGTATAATCTCAATATTTACAACCAGATGAAGGTTTCCTTTTTGGAATAATAAATTTCCGGAGTCGTTTTTACAGTCATATCAAAAATTACTGATTTGGTTATACACAGACCGATAATAATGACATCATTGTGAGGTTTAGTAAGTTAACTGTTTATATATGGACAATTTTTCTGTTGTACTTTGTTGGAAGGAGAAAACTAATCATTTCCTTAATAAAAATTTATTTAGCTAAAACAATAACATTATAGCATTATAGTTTATTAACTGATGTGGTTAAGCTTTTTTTTTTAAAAAAAACAAACCACACACCTTAGATTGAGTTTTAGCACACATGAAAAACTTAAAACAAATCCTTGTTTCCTGATGAATAGCCTTTGGACTATAATGTAACTTAAACAGAGAACTATATTTAGAAAGAAATTTTGCTCTGAAAGCATTTTATTACAAAAATCCAATTTAAATAATAATTAAAAAAATGTTTTAAATTAAAAAAAAATCTGATTTTTAATTTATTTTTAAATTGTTTTTTTTATCCACCCTGGCCATGGGTTCAAGTCCCACTGCAGGGGGTTGGGCTGGATGACCCTCGGGGTCCCAACTCTCGGTTTCCTGCCTCCTTGCCTCTCCGCTCCTGCCAGGCCCCTCACCTTCCTCCCCGCGCAGCCTCTCCATCTGGCCTCGTTCTGCCAGCGCCTCCGCCTCCTTCACGAAGGCAATCATCCCCCCAAAACCGGGCGCCAGGAGCTCCTCGATGAACTCCTGGAAAGGAGAAAGGGGCGGGGGAGAGAGGGAGAAGGAAGGATGGAAGAGACCCCTCAGAGGAGCCGCCCTCCGTTCGCTAGACTCCATCTCCCAGAAGCCCCGGAAAATGAGGGTGTGCAACCCAGGGGGTGATGGGATCCAGAGTCCGTGAACCTCTGGAGGAGCCTTTCCCCACCTGTGGGTCCCCAGATGTTGTTGAACTACAACTCCCATCACCCCTAGCTAGCAAGGCCAGAGCTCAGGGATGATGGGAGTTGTAGTCCAACATCTGGAGACCCACAGGTGGAGAACTGTTGCGGAGGGACCCAGATCACAACCGCCCCCCTGCTGGAGAGCCCCACTGGAATTTCTGGGAAGCTCAAATGCCCTCCCAGCCCCACAGGCGTCTCGGGGACCAAGCTCCCCCTATGGCCACCCCATTCATGTGCTTCCAGCGCCGTTTTAAAGGGCTTCCCCTAGTTTCTAGCACCGGGACCTCAGGTGTGTCTTTGGCAATGGAATGAAGTCCAAAGCCTCTCCTGCGGTGACTCGGCTGGCCAGTCGAAGCCGTTCCCTAGGTTGTGGCTGCTGTTGCATGCCGGCAGGTGAGAGCCACAGGTGAGAACTGAGTGCAGGATAGGGCCAAGGTACCCCCAAAGGAGAGACACGGGTTGTGCTGTGGGTTAAACCACAGAGC